AGTTCAGCCAGAATACAGGTTAAATGAAAAAAAAAAAAGCAGAGAATCAAAAGGAGGAATAGGTTGAGGATCTTGGCCAGCAGAGTTCTTACAAATTATTTCTTAAGGTAAATGTTGCCCTGGCCAGTTTGGCTCAGAGGTTAGAGTATCGGCCCATGGACCAATGGGTTGAGGGTTTGACTCCCAGTCAAGGGCACATACCTGGGTTTCAGGTTCAATCCCTGGCCCCAGTTGGGGTCATATGGGAGGCAACCAATTCATGTCTCTCTCACACACTGATGTTTCTTTCTATCTCTCCTTCCCTTCCCTCCCTTCTTCTCTATCTAAAAAGCAATGGAAAAATATCATTGAGTGAGGATTAAAAAAAAAGTAAGTGTTGTGCTTTTGTATCTAAAAGACTTAGAACATAGTAGGAGAGTTTGAACTTTATTCTTTAATGAACCATCAAGGGTTTTTGGAAAGAAGTTCTGAGTTAATGTGTTAGTAGCTGTACTATTTCAGGTGTATTAGAAGGAGGAAAGATTTTAGTCTGTTAGGGGGTTAGTTAAGTGGCCTCAGTAATCTAGGTAGGAATTAGGGCTCAACCAGTGAGGAAGACAGTAGGGACAATATATAATAAAGATTTCAGAGGTAGAGTTGACAGTTGAGTTAGGGGAAAGTAACAAGTCCAGAATAACTCAGATGTTTTAAACTTGTGTGACTGAAATTGATGGGTAATATTGATAGAAAAAGGAACGATAAGCAGAAGAGTGAGTTTGAATGGTGATGACAAAGTGTACAGTGTGTAATAGATGGTGAGAGGTGTGTGGGTGAGAAGTACATGTTCTACAAGTAGTAATTTTCAAACTATGTATTTTAATTTTGTTTTTATTGAGGTATAATAGACATGCAGTAGGGTTTTCACCTTTGAGTGTATAGTTCTCTGAATTTTAACAAGTACATACATTCATGTAACAATGCCATAGTCAAGATAAGAACAGTCTGTCACCCTAAAAATTCCCCGAGCTCCTACGTAGTCAGCCCCTTTGCCTGCCCCATCTACTTATAGCCACTGGTCTTTGTCATGTTCCTCTAGTTAAACTGTTTTAAAGAGTCCTGGGGACCACCACAAACTAGAGTCTAATGATCAGGAGGGCTGAGTGCCAGGCCCGCAGCCTTTGCTCTGACTTCCTCTGAACATGTTTACTTCTCTGTTTTCTATTTTATATGTTGGCATTCTCCTTAACATATGGGGGATGGGGTGGAAAATTTTACATAGCTAAATATTTGAAAGTATTACTCTACAGTGCTGCTGGTGCGACTGTCTGAGCCACCATTCTCTCTCTTACCTGGATCATTGCAGTAGCCTCTGAGTAGGTTTCCTTGCTTTGACCTTTGCCACCTATTGTTAACACGGTCAGCATGATTCCTTTACTGCATAGATCAGATCATGTCCTCCTCCTCCTCAAAATTTTATAATAGTTTCCTGTTAGTCAGAATAAAGACAAGTCATAGACCAAGAAGACCCTGAATTCTCTGGGTCCCCTGCTAATCCACCAGCCTACTCCCCTCTGAGCTCTCTCTATGCTATTGACATTGGCTGCATTTTGTTCTCAAACAATGCTGTGCTCACTTTAGGACCTTTGCTTTTTTTTTGTAATTAAACTAAAATTCACATAAGATAAAACTAACCACTTTAAAGTGTACAACTCATGGCATTTAGTACATTCACTACATACACCATCATGTCCATTTAGTTCCAAAACATTTTAATCACCCTCACATGAGACGTGTATCCATTAAGCAACCACCGCCCATTTTCTCTCCTCTTTTTCCCTAGTCTCTTCTCTCCTTTGTCCCCACCCCTGGAAACTACAAATTTTCTTTCTGTTTGTACAGGTTTACCTATTTCATAGAAATGGAATCATGCAGTATTCAACCTTTTGTGTCTGGCTTCTTTCACTTAGCGTAATGTTTTCAAAGTTCATCTACACTGTTTCGTGCCTTGGTACCTCATTCTTTTTCGTGGCTGAATAATATTCCCTTGTGGATATACCATATTTTGTTTATCCATTCATTCATTCATGAACTTCGGGTTATTTCCACCTTTTGGCTATTTTGAAAGTGCTGCTATGAACTTTCATGTATAAGTATTTGTTTGAATAAATGTTTTTATTTCTCTGGGTATATATTTAGTAGTAGAACTGGTGGCTCATATGGTCATTCTATGTTTAACTTTTTGAGGACCCACCAGACTTTTTTCCATAGCAGCTGAACTATTTTTCATGCCCAGTAGCACATACCTTGGTTTTTACATCTTCTTCTCCTTCCAGTTTTGACGCAGGCTTTACCTTCTCAATGAGATCTATCCTAACCACCCTATTTAACCCTGTAACCTGCTCCCATCTCCACCCTCTCCTCATTAGAATTCTTCTCCCCCTTACACTACATGCATGTTTCCCTAATCTTTTTCTTAGGCACATGCATATTTCATTATACTTGCTACCTTTTACACATTGAAACTCTTACTCTTCCCTAATCATAGGACTTGCTCGTCTCAACAGTCCACCAGACAGCTGTCATTGCAAGGGCATGTGTAGTTAATTACAGAAAAAGTAAACTTCACATATTCCTTGAAACTTGATGCCTAGTGGTTGAGAAACCTGCTTTATCATCTGCTGAATAAGAAGGTTACAACTTCATGATTTGGAATTATTTTGTTGATTGGGTTTCCTTCAAGAGCTTTTCACAAGTAGAGCAAATTATACATAATTTTCATACTTTAAAAAAGCTAATTGTATTTTCCAGCCTAGCAACAATAACTTTTATGGGTAGCTACCCATTGAATTGTAATAGCTTCCTTTTTCGCCTGTAACACAACTGGAGTGTAGGTGATGACTGTCTTCAAGCTGTTTCTCTAAGTCTCTCTTCAGTCAGAGAAAGAGCAAGAGAATGCATCTTAAAGGGGATTTATGCATTGCTAACTCCATAAAACACTAAGACTAGGTGTAATCTCATAAACATAAGGAGGCAGGCTGATGTCTGGGCTGCAGTGTTGTGTGTTTCCCTGCACCCACCTTCAGATGTGGTTGGAGCAGCAGGAGGAAGATTAGCTTTAACCTTCTGTTTATAACTTCCTTTTAAATAGGTTTCCTGGCATGAATGTCTCTGTTCTTAGAAACTCAACAGTTGATTTGCTCATTTTCCTTTATATATTTTCCATAATGCTTTCTTTCTTTTTATTTTTTTAAATTGAAGTTTAAGAACCAATTGAGACCATTGTCTTTCCAAAAACATGCAGTGCTCTTACTGCCAATCTGCTGAGGCTGTGGCTCGTCTCCGCAGTGCAATGGCAACGATGTCCAGGAATTACTTGGCAGGAAACTACTTTTTATATTTTGAGGTTGTGAAGTAAGAGATAAAAGTTTTGGTTGTGGTGTTTGAGTGTTCTTTCTGTTAAATCCAGATCTCAAAATATGACTTAAAGGTAGTTAATATAATTTATGAAAAGGGAATAGAATTGATAGGAAAAACGTTAAGAAAATTCCTCCTCACGTTCTGGAAATCAGACCAAGGACTGATCAATGCCTCCCAGCTTGAAATGTGGCCTCTGTTGTAGTCAGCTGTCTGGAAGGCAAGAGAAGAAGCAGGGATCGGTGGGCCTGTTCCTTCGAGGATGCTTGTAACATACTGACAGCGTTCCCCCTGCCCTCCTCAACAGAGAGAGAAGAAGCCTGCCTTTGCCATTTTTTTTTTAGTTCATTTCATGGTTCCAATACCTTTTTCTCGCTGTTTGCGTACCCATTTCTTTAAAACATGGCAGTGGATTGAGAGGTGGTAGGTAGGAGACAGAATTAATCTTTTTGTTCTCTTTTGGTTTGTTCTCATAGATTCTTCATAATTTGGCCTTGTAATCTTTTTATGCCTCTTTCTGATTCTCATGCTCATTCTCGTAATACCTCGTGTGTAGTAGGCTCACACTAAGCCTAGAAATGGGGAAAACACCGGAGGCCGTGGGAACCAACTCTACTCACAGAGGCTGTTCTCCGCCCTATCGACAAACCAATTAAGAGAAAATCAGTTCTTATAACACAATGAAATCTCCTTAAACACTCTAGTGATCATGATTTTGAGGTAATTTTATAGAGATTTGTAAGGGGAGGGGTTGTGTTTTGTGTGTGTGTGTGTGTGTGTGTGTGTGTGTGTGTTTAGTGTGTTTTGGTCTAGAGGACACAGACTAAAGTTCTAGTTGTTTGCATCTGAAGAGGTGAGTTGCCGGAAACGTGAAATGCGACGCACGGTACTGTTTGTCTGCAGTGCTCTCTCTTTAACAGAAGCAGACTTGGGAAGATTTGTTTCAAGAGAGCCGTGCACTAATAGACAGAAGCAGAAATGACTATGAAAACCAGATGTTGTGTCTGGGCTGCGCTTCAGAGGCAGGGTTTCAGTGTGGGCAGAGTTCAGTTCTCGCTTGTTTGCCGCGCTGATGAAAGGCCTCCCCGGCCGTGCGCGCAGCTGCTGAGCGCGGGCCTCGTTTGCATGTTGCCATCACCGTTTCTCCACAACGCCACGTTTCTGTTGGCCATTTTGGTTTATCACTTCAGAAATCGTCCGCCTAGAAATCCAGGATGTGAGCAATATTTATTTTTATTTAAAATTACTAGGGGAATTCGTTAGACAATACGTCGTTTCCTGACACTGGCAAGAGGCTTTACAGCGTTTCCCCCTCATTTTCAGGGACATATTTGGATTACATATACATCTTAGCTTGTTATTATTGTAGGATTCCATTCGCTTTGATTTAGAAAATTTCAGGTTTATTTTGTCTTTATAGGACTCTAAGCTCTTTTCCTTTGAAAATATCCAAAAGGCCTCATTTGTGGTTCTGATCCTAGACTGATTTGGTTTGTCTTAGAACAGAAACCATTTGAATAAGGGGAAAGAAGGAATTGATGATATAGTTTAATCTCCCTCTGTTTTAATGACATGTCTCACTCACGTTGTGGTGCATCTCCCCACAGGTCCACATCCAGCTTTCAGAGTGGCACCGCGCCATCTTCCTCCCGCAGGCCTGGCTGGCCTATATGAACCGAGCTTACCATGCCATTTTACAGGTAATGAAGCCACAGGAGGGTCTGCTCCAAGGGAGCATCTCCTTCTTATCTCAGATTTACTATAAATATGTCTGTAATATAAGAGCACTTAGGGAAATAACACTTTCAAACATGCAACGGTTATATTTGCTGATAAAAGAACATAAGGCATAAGGACATAAGGTGTATAATGTAGTTACATTTTAAATGCTGATTCTCACCCCCCACCCCCGCCCCAATCTGTGTCCAGTCCAGAGCTCCCTCTTGAGCGCTACTCTCCTACATCCTGCTGCTTCCTGAACATCTCCCAGATGTCCCACGTGACCCCTTGGATGTCCCAGGGCACCTCAACTTGAGCACGTCTTTTACCTCCTCCAACTGGACTTGCTTACACCTCCAGCCTTATTTTGCTTCCTCTAAATGTTGTGTTTGGGCCTTGCTAGAGTCGTTGTTTCCCAAACTCAGCGTGTCTCTCCTGATCTCTTGGTAGTTACATTGGTTCCTTCTGCCCTTCCCTCTTTGCCCACCTAATTTCCACTTGTTCTTGAGACCATTTTATCTGGGAAGGCGCCCGTGTGCCTCCCCTTGCCCCTGCTGTACTGTATGCTGCTCATACGTGCTTCCCGGAATCCGTGCTTCCCTTTGGAAGCTGTGATCACCTTGCTTACTTGTCTGGGGCCTCCTTCCTGTTGTGTCCGCTCCTTAGAACTGGGAGCTCTGTGTTCTCTGCTGTCTCTAGAACCTGACATAGTGTCTGAAACATAACAGGTGTGCTCACTAAACACGTAAACGAATTATACTCAATTTGACTTCATTTAGTCCAATAATAATATGTTGTAGTTTGTGAATTTTTAAAATTAGAAGTAATTTTTAATCAGTTAGGGGATATATGAGCAGATAAGAATAAAACATCAAGAAAACAACAATTTTTTCCTAGCTTAAAATTCACTTTTAAGGACGATAAAGAAAAAAAAAACTGCTGAAGGTACATTTATGGCCCAGAATCAGATTTTCATGGAATGTCAGGTGTTATGGTTGAAGGCAACAGCTGTCCTAAAAGATAGTTGGGGGGAGGGGGTGTTCAGGAAAAGGCAAATGGGGGGAATAGCTAAGCATCTGAGCATTGTTCTCATCTTAAAACCTTCTTGCAACATTTTATTGAGTCTAAGATTTATCAAGTACTGACACATCTTCAGAGATATCTATCCATTAGCCCTGAGTAGGGGATCAGGGGTCTCCATGTTTACCAAGCTGCCAGGTCATTGTAACTCAGTCAGTCTATCAACCACACTCTGAGCAACTGTGTTTTAGCTTATTCCCCAAACCACCCTGGAATTCACATTTTAAAGACGCTCCCTTGGAATTTTTCTTTTTGCTCAGCTTGCCCACTTTTTATGCTCAGCTGCATCTTGGCACTCAGTTTTGAATAGATTCCTCATTCATACACACCGTTGACCAATTATAGTTTCTATTCATGATGAGTGAAATTACAAGTCAAAGTATACACTGTTCTCATGTTTATTTTTCCCCATGCAATTTTGTAGTATTTTCCTTCAGCAAACGTGTATGGAGTACTTTTTACTGGCCAGGACCTGTGCCAGGGTGTGGGACACAAAGGGGAATAAGGCACCCCTTCCTCTTAGTGAGCTCCTCATCCAGTGTGGGAGACCAGCATGTCCACCACAGTTCCAGGACAGTGCTTTAACAGAGGATGTACAAGTACTGCAGGGCTGGAGGAAAGCGAGACAAAGTCCTCCTCTTGCAGAATAAACTGAGAATTGTTTTTAACTTGAGCATGAGAAAGGCTAAATTGAATGGGATTGTGGTATAACTCATGCAGATGACTTTCAATTTATTTTTTTTTAAAAACTCTCCATGGTTGTTTATATAGTAAGAGCTACCATTTATTGAATAACTGTTGTGTGTCCAATATGTACCACATATGATTTCAGTTCATCTTGACTGAAACCCTTTGAAGTGGGTGTTGTCAACCCCACTCATAATGGGATTATACATGGGGAAACAGGGTTAGCTAGGAAAGCAAACATTTGGTGTAAAACCCAATGGTCAATAAATGAAAGAACTTGAACTTGGAATTTTTTGGATTCCAGAACCTCAGACTTTCTCACCATCGCATGCATTTTCCCTAACACATAATGTTGCACATTAGTTGTAACAACAAATAATGCAAGTTGCATTATTAAAGGACAGATCTATTTTTGAAAAGCCAGCCGAGTCTTTTTAGTAATGCAGGTCAATTATTCTGCTTTTTACTCTTGTGATAGTGTGCATCTTTGTTTATCATTTAAAAGGTCTTTACTTTGGCCTGGCCAGTGTGGCTCACTGGTTGAGTGTCAACCCATACATCAAGAGGTCGCTGGTTTGATTCCCAGTCAGGGCACATACCCAGATTGTGGGCCCGATCCCCAGTGGGGGCCATGCAGGAGGCAGCCAATCAGTGTTCTCTCTCATCGATGTTTCCAACTCTCTCTCTCTTTCTCCCTTCCTCTCTCTCTAAAATCAATAAAGAAAAAAAAAAGTATTAAAAAATAAACAAATAAAAAGTCTTTACTTTGAATTTTGAATAATTCTAGTTGCATTGAGAATTGGTGACAAAAGTGAAAAAGTGTCGACTATGCTAAGCTTTTCAGTGTTATTTGAAAGTACAACAGTGCTTTTAGGCCATCACTATGACTTGAAGATACACTGATGTATTTTAACCATTCAACAATTTCTGTAAATGACTCCACACTTAGAATCTAGGGTATCTTTTGGTCCTGCTCAGAGCTCCTTCCCCTCTGCTGCTAGACATATTGTGTAGCACTAAACCAGAGGATCAGTCTGAGGAGCACATCCTATTCCGTTAAGCCTAGGAGACATGCATTCTACATTATTTCCTGCAGGTTGATTTTGATATAAGTTTGAGATCTGAACACTACAAGTGGCTTTTGCTTAGATGTCTGCTTCCAGTCTTATCTACTTTTTCCACAAGATGTGGGATTCAGAATTACAAGCATATCTGGGTGCTTGACACAAGGAGGAATTTGGATTTCTTCTCATTAAGATAAAAAAATGCAGATACAGGTTGATTGACAGTTCAGAGTCCATTTTGATATGGAGCCTTTACAGCTGCCTTTACCTTGCTGCCCTTGTAGGATGCTGAGGAGGTTAAGGTCTCCAGCTTTTGTGTAAAGGGCTCTTAGGCATTTTGAATATGACCTCAAATGCAGGGAAGAATTAAAGCGGGCTGACTGCAGAGCCTTGCTCCCTGAGTCGGTCAGCTCGCGGCAAAGTAACAACTAAAAACCAGGGTCTGGAACTGGGAGCCCTAGTAAATTACTCTGTGACTATTTGTAAGAGTTGTTTGTTTGTTTGTTTTGTATAGGTTTGGAGCTAGGTGAAATTGCTCACTGTAATCAGCAAGCTCTTGGTTACATGGGCTAGAGATTATTTTTTTTCCCAAAAAAATAAAAGGGATCGATAAATTAATAACTGGAACCTCCAGGCAATCCAAAACTCCCCATTCAAGGGATCACTTCAGCCTTTTTTGTCCCTACGAGTGCTTTCCAGCCTTAACCATAGCTGTTCACCAGAAGCAGAGGTAACTGAGAGGCATGTCACTGGGTGTCTGCTACCAGCAGGCAGAGAATTGGAAGCAAAGTACATCTGGATAAACGGCCTAACTTGGACTGGGTGGAAGGGGTTAGAGACCGCCCAGAAGAGGGATTGAGAGGAACGAGACTCTGAGAAGGAAAGAAAACGTGCTTCGTCACAACAGGATGGGTGTAGTGGTTCGGCTACAGGAGAGATTATAAAAATAGGCCTTTCCAGGAGGCTGCCTGAATACTAGCTTTTCTGTCTTTTGTTTCTTTTTAAACAGATTTTAACCTTTCAATTTCCCATTTCTTGTCCTTTTTGGAAAAGCATTATGGAAAGTAAGTATTTTAGGAAGAAAGGGGCATAATTTAAGAAGCATAACAAATAAAGACAGACAATAAAAATTATTTTCAATATTGCCTACCCTCCTAGGAGACCAATATCAACATGAAGTACTAATATCAATATCTTGCCAGTTTGGCCACCTGTAATACTTTGCTCTAAGAGAAAGGGGGAGAATGAAAGGGCCAGGATTCTATCTCTGAACAGAGGGAGATGGGCGTGGATGTGATTGAAGTGAATGGAAGCTGTGAAGGATGTGACGAGAACACCCCTCAAATCTCAGAGTGTCTGCACCGGCGAGGCCGGGGGAGGGTGCTGGAGTCTGTGCTGTGTGTGACTCTTCAGACTGATGCAACTGTCCTTGTTTTCAGTGAGCTCACAGGCGAGCATCAGAGTATTTGAGAGAAATGGAAGGACATGCAACTAGATAGACTGGATATTACATTTTTGGCAACCTTTTACTCCATGAGAGTATACAGATGAACATGTGAATTATTTTACTAAAGATTTCGATATATTTATGGAAGAATGTTTTCTGAGACGATTATAAGGGGAGGTGGAATTTGTTGTTGTTGTTATGGACAGCAGACCTGGTAATGGGAGCTAGTATTTGTCATCAGGCACTATATAAATAGACAGTTTTCCACATTATTCAATATGATGCTCTAACACCACGAGGTAGTTGTTAGCTACATTTTACAGATGAGGAAACTGCAGCTTAGAGAAGTGACGTAACTTGCCCAAATATATACTTCAAGTAAGTGGAAATGGCAGTAGATTCTGACTCTATAGCTTACGTTTTTAACTCGTGAAGCTATATTGCTTCCCTCTCTGGGGTGTATATAGAAACATATACTTCTCTTTTGTAGAACATACCTTAGAACTCTATAGTCAACAATAAGAAGACAGCCAATAGAAAAATGGACAGAATGGGAAACCCAAATAGTCAATAAACATTTGAAAAGATGCATGCACTCATTAGTAAACAGGGAAATGAAAATGAAAACCATAAATGAGCACCATTTCACATCCACGAAGATGGTCAAAAATAAAAAGCCTGACACTTCCAAATGTTGTTGAGGATGTGAACTAGACCTCTGACTTACTGCCGGTGAGAACGTAAGCCGCACAGCCACTGCTGAAAGTGCTTTGGCACTACCTGTAATACAATGTGCAGTCTAAGTTCTTGTCCGATGTAGGCTTCATCCATGAACCAGTATTTAAAGTACATTTAAATAATGTAACTGGTGATGAAGTAGAGGGGAAAAGCACCTGGTCAAAATAATTCTGAGTGTAAAAAGAAGATAATAAATATTTGAAGGTTCTGATTTTAAAGGCATGATATTAGCTATATTTTTATTGCATGGTAGAGGTTGAGAATTATAATATCTATTTTTGTATGTTCACTCAAGAAATAGAAATGTAATGTGCAGCTGTTGGAGAATGATGTGTTATATATTACCCGAATCTTAAATGTGATATAGCATCCTTCTCATCCTCTACTGTTCTGCTTGGATACTGGTACCCAGACCCCAATCGTGGGATAATGTCAGTTCAAATTATTAGCTGTTGACACAGGCTGATCATTACTATATAGGAGACTTTTTTGAATGGGACCTATGAAATTAAACTCTGCTTTTAATAGATTTCCCAAAATGAAGTGCTCTGCCAAACATACAACTTCTCCAGGATATACTCATTTGGCGGAAGTAGAAATACCTGAGCAGTGATGTAATTATCTCTCTCACATGTCCTCGTTCATAATTTAATGACTATCAGGGACACTTAAGGTGAATTGGGAAAGGATACATCTGTTATCTTCTAAGAGTTTTCCAAAGAAATTGTAAGATAATTGGGCCCACAGAGTCGTCATGCTGATTTGTGCTGTGTGTCTTACAGGGAAGAATAGCAGAGCTGGAGTTGCAGTTAAAACATGGAAAAGAAGGCGCCGAGGAGGTGCAGTCCAAGAAGAGTACAGCCTGGCTCTGGTGAGGAGACGTCCCTGATGTCATGGGGAATGAACCATGAGAAGGGGACTACTTTGAAGGCTTTAGTGTTGGGGATTTTAACTTCTGTATGAGCCTGAAGGGGAAAAGACAGGAGGTTTGATAGCTGTAATTTTCATCTCCTTAGATATCAGAAGGAGAACTGTATTCATAAATGTTATGGTTTTTATTGTTTTCTAAAGCAATGCGGAAATGGTTTGCTTTTCCCTTTTTCCTCTTATAACTGATTATTTTATATGCTTTTTAATGAAATTTTCTATTCTTCTCTACTTAATTCATTGCCTTCCTCACTCATACTTAGTCAAGAAATACCTCTCCATTCCCCTGCTCCTCCCTTCCCAAGACAGCTCATCATTAGGAGCAACTTTCACAGACACCCAGTGAATTCTCCTATAGCATCTACAAACGTGTAAGCGCTGGCACGTTAAAGACAATTTAAATCGTTACATGGGTTGGGGTGATACCTTGTCAGACTAATGTTGCAGCAGCCTAAATCCAAGTGCCCAGAATCTAAGTAGCTTTGCCTATGGCCACAGGTGTCTTTAATCCAAAAATCTGTTTAAAGGTTACTGGATTTTAGATTTCTATTTACTGACAATTGGCGTATGTAGAAAAGCAGAAGGGTGTGTGTGTGTGTGTGTGACTAATTCTATCCTAAGTTTTATTTTCTAGATTTATTTTAAAAGTATCAAAGCTGTTTAAAACATGACATTGGATTTATGATTACAGATTAAGAATTTGGATTTTGCTTTCTATTTGCTATTATTTTTACACATAATTTTAATGTCATCTTCTGAAAATGATCATTTGGTGGAGGTGGTATGTTGGCTGTACTGTTCAAAATATATAGAGACGTGAAATGAAAATGTGAGAAAAAGATGGCTGTCAAGAATAACTGCAATAGTTTAACTCTGAATAACTAAATGTATGGAGTTTCCATTTCCTAAGATGGGACGACAGTGGAAAAGCAAGCCTGGGTACAGCGGGAATGGGCTTGGGACTTGCTAAGCCGGAAGATACCTAATTAGACCTCCAACTGGAGATATCAAGTAGGTTGGTGACCATGCGAGTCTAGATTCAGGGGTGAAGTCAGGGCTGGAAGTACACATTTGGGAATGATCAGCATGTTGACTGCATTTCAAATCATGTTGCTGGTTGCGACCTAGGGAGTAACAAAAGACAGAGGAAAAGTCAGAGGACTGAGCCCAGAGCACTGCAGTGTTTGGAAATGGAGCAGATGCAGGAGGGACCAACAAAGCGCACAGGGAATTAGTGAGCAGTGATATAGGAAGAAAACCAAGAGAGCTTGGACTCTCAAAAGCCAAGGGAAGAAAGTGTTTCACGAAAGGAGCAACCAAGTGTATTAAATGCGGCGGTGAGGTGGCAAAAGATGGAGACTGAGAGCTGGGCATCGATCTGGCCTCTGGAAAGTCACTGGTGGCAGCAGCTGCTCTGGTGGAGTTGTGGGGACAAAGCCAGAGTATAGAAGGGTCTAGAGCAGTGGTTCTCAACCTTCCTAATGCCGCGACCCTTTAATACAGTTCCTCATGTTGTGGTGACCCCCCCCAACCATAAAATTATTTTTGTTGCTACTTAATAACTGTAATTTTGCTACTGTTATGTCTTAGGTGACCCCTGTGAAAGGGTCGTTCAACCCCCAAAGGGGTCGCAACCCACAGGCTGAGAACCGCTGGTCTAGAGAGAGTGGAAGGAGATAAACTAGAGTCAAGTACAGACTGTCTTAAATGAGTTCTACTGTGTGAGAAGCAGCAAAATGGGACAATAGTTACATCTTCTATTAAAATGGTATTTATTTCTGTATGTTCACATGCTAAGGGTGGTAATACAATCAGAAAAGGAAAAACTGGTGATGTGACAGAGAGAAGAGATGGGTAAAAGGAGGGAACTAGTCTACAAGTGGAAGGCTTGTTCCTACATGGAAGTCAGTACAGTCAGGTCATCATTTATAAATATGTCCCGCTGACTAATAAAAGAATACATTAAATGTACTATTCTCCATCTAAGCATACTGAGATTGGACAATTTAGAGAATTTTTTGTCAAATGGTTTCATAAAATGCAAATTAAAGATCTATAGGAGCAGTTTACCACTAACTGAAAAACTTGGCTCTTCAGAATGACATTCTCAGAGAGTGCTGAATAGCTAAGATTTGATCAGCTTTCAAGTGAAAATATTTATGCATTCAAATATAGTAATATTTTTAAAAGCATCATAATATTTATTTAAACTTTGAATTTCTGAAACTCGAAGTATACAGGGAAAATGTATCTTCTTCAGAATGTGAACTTGACAGTCAGTGATGTTTTTCACTTTATCTCAAGGCTCTTATGCTGAAATATTTTTTAATTCTGTGAATATCTGAATTGAACATACCTCCCTTCAAATTCACAAGTGTAACTACTTTATTTTAGCTTCATAGTGATTGTATAACCAATATTTTTAGTTTTATATAATACATAGTGACTATTCTATTATCTCCAATTCGCAAATAGTAAATTGCTGTTATGGTGAGTTCTTGTGCAAAAAAAACCAAATGTCTTAGTCAGTCTTAGCTGCTGTAACAAAAATACCACCCACTGTTGTTTGGGCTTAAACAACAGCAATGTATTTCTCACAGTTCTGGATACTGGCAGTCCAAGATCAAAGTCCTGGGAATTCTGGTGCTGGTGAGGGCCTCTTCCTGCTTTGCAGTTGCTGCCTTCTTGTGTCTTCACAGGGGCAAGGGGCGGGTAGAAAGGGGCAGAGCAGGGAGAGGAAAGAAAGTGGGGGGGCAGAGAGAGAGACAGAGAGCGAGCGAGCTGATTTCTGAGGACTCTACCTCACCACCTCCCAAAGGCCCCACCTCTAAATACCATACACTGAGAGCTAAGATTTCAACATATGCATCTGAGGGGACCCAGATATTCCCACCACAGCAGAGAATGCTGTACAGGGCACACAAACTGTCCAGCCAGTTTCAGAGATGACACCATCACAACACTACCTGCACATCCCTCCTTATCACATTCACTTTCTTCTCCCTCCGCTCGGTGACCTGAGGAAGAGGAAGAAGAACTTGCTTTGAAGTAAAGCCCTTACTATAGTTCTTTCACCTTACACTAAAAATCCTATGTATATAGTTTTTACATCTGGAATCATTTCTAGAGGTTCTTAATAATTGATGAATAAGCAAAGCGATTGGGTTCTTGCCCTAACATAAACTCATCATGTATTTTCTTTGCATCATTATTGCAGGGTTCGAGACATGTTGACCGATGAGATCACCAAGTCAGCTGCAAAGTAAGATCTGTTTATTCTCTTTGCCCAAAATTTTCTGTAAACACTTTTTTTTTTTTTTTTCTGCAAGGTACATATAGTTTCTCCTTTTAGGTTATTTCTTAACTTTAAGAATTTTAAAGGAATTTTTAATTTTTAAAAAATCAGTTATTCTTTCTCATATTAAGTTAATTCTTACTACATGTCTTGTGAAAATACAGAGGAATCAGTACAAACACATACTTTTACATCAAGAGTCTACTGAGCCCAGCTGGTGTGGCTCAGTGGTTAAGCATTGACCCAAGCACCAAGAGGTCACTGGTTCGATTCCCAGTCAGGGCACATGCCCAGGTTGTGGACCAAATCCCCAGTGGAGGGCATGCAGGAGGTAGTCAGTCAGTGTTTTCTCTCATTGATGTTTCTATCTCTCCCTCCCTCTCCCTTTCTCTCTCTCTAAAATCAATAAAGAAAAAACATTTTTTGAAAAAAAAAAAAAAAAGAGTCTACTGAGATTGTACAGTACGGACTTAAATTTTTATTTTATTGTTAATTTTTTAATCCCCACACGAGGACATTCTTCCATTTTTGTTCAGACGGAGTGGGAGGGGATGAGAGAGAGAGGGAGGGAGGGAGGGAGAGAGAGAGAAACATCTGTGTGAGAGAGACACATTGATTGGCTGCCTCCTTTGAGACCACGACCAGAGCTGGGGACCAACTGCAACTGAGATACGTGCCCATGACCAGAATCGAACCTGCAACTCATTGGTCCAAGGGCCAACGCTCTAACCGCTGAGCCAAACCGACCAGGGCCTAACTTCGACTTTTAAATTTCTAATTTACTTTTGGGTGTCAGGGGTGGGTGGGGAATCCTTGCTAACATGAATTAATAAATAGAGGGTTAAATCTCAACTGTGAGCCAGCAAATAAATCAAAGTGTAGTACTTCCTTTTATTCCCTTTCTACTATTGGGTCCAGGGTATCTAAAATTTAAATTTTTAAGTACTAGAAACTAATGTGAAGAACCAGTAAAAAAGGCAGTTTTAGTCATATCCTTATGATTGTTCTAACAAAAATAACTTGAGTATTACTATCTTGAGGCTTTTTATCTTAAGCCACTTCTAAGAAAATTATACCCTAATGAACTTGCTTAAACAATCTCAGTTTGCTTTGTTAACAAGCTGACTAATTGTTTCTGGCAGTAAGTTACAGTCAGTTACATACAATTCTCCCTTCCACCATCACTTTTAGCAGCTGACATCCCTTGACACCCTTTCTTCGTATTCACCAAACAACACAGATATACTTTTGAACTAGAGGATTGCATGTGCGTTGCAAGTCCATTGTCCAGAAATATTTCATTGCAGAATAGTTTATCGTATCATGTCCCAAAACCCTCTGTAGCTAGATTTTGCCTTAAAAACAAAAACAAACACACAACACGATCTACCTTAGAGTTGGCTTTCCCCCAGTAATTTCTTTTTTTTTTTTTTAATTTTGTTTTTTAATCCTCATCCGAGGACATTTTTCCATTTTTTGTACGGACAGTGTGGGAGGGAGAGAGAGGAAGAGAGAGAGAGGGAAACATCGATGTGAAAGGGACACATCGAGTGGCTGCCACCTGCACGACCAACCAGGGCCGGGGACAAACTGCAACCGAGGTACGTGCCCTTAGCGGGAACCGAACCCGGGTCCCTCTGGACCGCAGGCCGACGCTCTAACCGCTGAGCCAAACCGGCCAGGGCTCCCCCAGTAATTTCTTACACAGGCACTAACTGTGCAGGCTGGCCTCAGTACTGATCACTCCTCAGCCTCACAGCCCCCGAACAGAGGCCAACAGAAGCGGCGGTCCTCCTCTGCTCTCCGTCCTGCGGGAGGCACGGGGAACTGTCTGTTGACATATCAGTGGACAAAATGAAAACTAAAGTACCGAGAGTCCTTGGTATGGACTCATTTGTGTCTGCTCACCTAGTTTGGTGACTTGCAGCCCTGGTGGGAGAGTACTCAGCTGCATATTGGAATCGGAAGGGAGGAGGTGCTGGGCTAGGGAATACCTTAGAGCTTACCTTTTGTACTTTGTTCTATTAGTCTATATATATATATATATACACACACACACACACACACACACACACACACACATATACATACACATCTCCTATTAAAAATGGTGCTCTGACATTTACAGCAAAAAGCTCGAATGCTGAAGAAACTAACATCCTTTTACTAAAGTCAACTTTGATATTGCCTCTCTAGTAGCCTCCCTCCCTTTGCTTTCCCCCACCCACTTCCTCTAACCCGGCGAGGACCCCTCCACCACCTCCTGCCTGCAAAGGCTTCTGTTCCTTGGACCACGGCTGCCACAGGCGTCTTTGGGCCGCGGAGGACTTGTTTTGCTCTGCGCCATAAATTAAAAGCAGAATGTAAAACATCAGTCACCGGATTAGAGTGATTTGCTCATTTGAGAGCATTTATTTCTAAAACATCAAGGTTAGGGCTAAGGGAGAATAAGGACACAGATATAACCTGATGATTGATGTAAGTTTATTTTCACTATTATTAATTGAATAGATTTGAACCTGAAGATAAAAATCCCTGAGGGATCGGGTCACTTTACTAATATGTAACGTAATACTTTGTTTCTGAGAAAGCATCATCCTAGCTCATCCTTCCTTGTGCTTTTTAATTAGGTTAATGGCATCAGTTTGTTTCAAAGGACAATTTAATTAAAATGTCAGTGGTGCTGCCTAGATAAATAAATACCTTACTGATGCTGACATGTCATTATGCAAATTAGTTACTACTGCTTGACTGTAGGGGATAGTTATTTAATCAACAAGGTGATGAGTCTTTTCTGAACCAGTTGTAGATTTTCACCTGGCCAGCTCTTCCTTAAATTCGTTTCACTAAATATGTATTGAGTGTCTTCTCTCCCTAAGTCGCTGTGCTCGGCTGGTAGGGAGTGCACAGACGGTGCAAAGCCAGTCATAGCACCTTTGGGAAATTTGTAGCTTGGCCTAAGCAAGCACCATGTGGACTGAGGACCAGTTGTTTTAAATTCAAAGATCAACGTCCAAATTTGCATTTAATCTGTAACCAAAGGTCTAATTAGCGGTGGTGTTAAATATATTTTTCTCCATTTTACAAGAAACAATACATGCTCAGGAATGTCAAGATCGGTGAAACTTTTCTAATAAAATCACTTGGGGCACTGTTTTAAAATAGACGCTAGGTTCTCTTTCAGAATTTCAGTGTTAAAAAGGTTCTTTTTTGTTACCTCGTCTATTATCCTTGTTTTAAAAGATGTGATACCCGATTTCTGGTGACCATCAAAGTTTTTCTATAGGGTGATAAAAACTGGTATCTAATTCTCAGATCACTGAGTATTTAAAACTATTTTTCACCTAACTTCAGGAATTTATGACCATTTTGTAGCAAGACAGGCTTCAAGGATCTTCTGAGCTAAAAGAGATAATAGAAATAAAAGATTTAATTTTGATTTTAAGTGATTTCATGGCTAGGGCACTTAGGAGTGATCAGATCTTGCCTCGTTTCCTGTTTTATTATTAGCTTTGTGAGTTCCCAATAATCCTGATTACAGAACTTCAGCAAAACCTCGGGTGAAGCCATCTGCTTGGATGGCTTCTTTCTATTTTCTCCCCCAGTATAAATGTTGTCTTATAAAACTTAAGCAAGTCTCCTAGAGGAATGAATTAAGGAGAACAAATTGGTGAACAAAATGACCAAGTGTGCAGAGCAAGTCTTGACTGGTTTTAACCACCTGAATGGGGGGGGGGGGGAGCGATTGGGTGAATAGATGGAAGAACTTGATCACAGCACGTCCTGAGCCCACTTTTACCCCATGGAAGTAAAAACGCAAGAACACTTGTGTATACTAATGTTTTAATACTCACTGACTCACATGCTCAGGATTCTTCATCCTGCATATCTGTTCTGTGACAGCACTGAGGAACACAGGGAGTTCCTAGATGTGTACATTGATTCAAGCTCAGGTGTCAAGTCCAGGTCTGGGGAGACGTGCTCTGTGTTTGTGGGAGCCCACACGCGTAGGCCTGGCAGGACTGAACTCTGGCGGCCAGCACAGTTCTTGTCTGAGACAGGACTTCTCATGAGTGTCCTACCTGAGACTCGTCTGCCGAGCCACCTTGGAATGATGGAATGACACTAAATGTGCATTTTCAAGTGCTGAGCGTGTGAATGAGGCTCTGTTCCTTGATGCTAAATTCGGAAGTCAAATATAAGATTTTGCTAATATTAGAAAACTAACATTTGGATGATATAAAGGGCAACTCAATCCATCTAGTTTAAAAACAGCTCTTTTTTTTTTTTTTTTTTTGCATCTTATCTGGGGCCTCAAAATCATATGACAAACTGACTTTAAGGTTGCTGGTTTGACGTATTAAGAGAAAGAAGGGGAGGATGATAACAGCTGAGGAAAGCTGCCCGTTTGTCAGGCTGTGGGGAAAGTGTGCTGGGCAGAGGGTTCAAGAGGCTGGTTCCCACACCAGTGCCTAGGAAGGCCAGAGGCCAAGTCCATCCTGCCGGGCTTATGCACATAACTGTCCTGGGTCGTGTTCTCAGAACAAAGCAATACATTTATATTGGTCAAAGACAACAGAGGAAGATAGCTTAGGAAAAGTAACATCAAATGATGAAATAAAAATTTTTGGAAGCACTGAGGTATGATGAGCTTGGATTTTTAAGTTACAAGTAAGTATAATGACCACACATCTATAAGAAGAGTCAAAAATCAGCACTGGTGTCCGAAGAAGGAAAGAAACTGCTGGCGTCTGGGAACAGACGGATGCGTGTTCATGAGGCTCTGAAGGCGTGGTTTTGCCCTCACCTGCGCCTGTAACAGCGCCTTCTCTCCTTTGAAACAGGGACAGCCCCGTGGCCAAAGGCAATGCCCTGTTAGCCCTAAGCAGCCTTGCTGTGGTCGTATCCAAACATGAAGCCAGCCTCTCCTCAGACGCCGACGGGGCCCTGGAGGTGAGTGAAGTGATTTGAACCCGTTGGGCTCTGGCTTGTAACCTTTGAAAAGCGGGAAGTGTCTGGAAGCCCAGCTCTGAATTCACGAGGTTCGGGTCTGTCCGCGGCACCAAGTCGTGCTGGTTGATGGGCCTTTACGCTGTGAGCTTTCGTGTCTGTGAGATGCTTTTCTTTGCCGCTTTTCTGTTTTGCTTTCTCCATCACAGTTAAGTGGTCATTTCAATTTGAAGGGACCAATTTTATGCAACAAGGGTTGTCTTTTTGTGATTACATCAGTGGTAACCAATCTGAGGAGGTTAACTAGGCTTACTGAAAGCAAACGATGCTGTCAAAAAGTGATAAATAAGCAGTGTTTACTGACTGAAAAAAATTATACTCTGCATTTTAATTGTAGATGTCAATGACAAAGTGCCTATTCATTTTTGCAAGGCATTTATTTCTTAATTAGACATGTGGTGAGCTGGCCAATGTTCATTTCCAGTGTACTTTTTCAGATAATTCATATCTGTCAAAATAAAAAGGCATGGATTTATTCTTCTTACAAGCCCCATCATCTAGTAGCTATCAGTATCTGGAGACAATACAGCCAAGGGGTTAAAAACATGGGCTTTGGCGTAGAAGAGGGTTTATTTAAATCCTAATACGTATACTTACTAGCTCTGTGGCCTGCCGTTGGTGACTTTCCTTTTCAGAGCTTATTTCGCCACCTATAAAATGGGGATAACGATACGAACCAGATAGGATTGTTGAAGGATTAAATGAATTAATATATGGAAAGCACAATGGCTGGTAGATACTAACCTCTCAGTAATAGTCGCCATTAGCATCAGCATACACTGCATCACTCCTTGCTGCAAAAATGATTTATTTGATATTACTCAGCCTGTGTCTATCCCCACAGAGGGTCTTATGGACCACCTGTACTGTTTTTTAACTCATTTTGTTTTTAGAACAAGCCAGGAGGTAGGTCTAATATTCTCTCCCACTTTAAAGACAGATGCTCAGAGAGGCTGCCCAACTTTCCCGAGGTGACACGGCAATTGGTAGTACCGGGGTTTGAACCCAGGCAGTCTGGCTCCGGAGCCCATGTTATTAACTGCTGAGCCAGCCTGTCCTGTTGTACTGTTGTACTGTTCTTTTTTCATGGTGGGGTTTTCTGGTTGCAAGTAAAGAAAATAACACTCCTTTAAAAGAACTAGAAGGAGAAGGAATCTGGAAGCCAATGAGATTGAAGGTAGAGCTTAAAAACTGGGTTTTGGAAGAACAGTAACCAAGGCAACTTGGGGAGGCCAGGCAGAGGCACTAATGAGCCATCTGAGCAGCCCCCTGCCCCCCACTGGGATGGATCACCTCTAGTCATTTACTGTCTTGGCATCACTCAAGATTTAGAGTCCCATGCCTACACTGGGGGCAAGGTGGAACAGGTAGCTAGATTGGGCATTTAACCAAGCCTCAAATCATGGAGGAGGGAATTCCCCAAAGGGTGCTATTACCAGTAAACAAGAGAGTAGATGCCGTGTGGCAAAAGCTACTAAAGAATATTACAGGTGGGGAAGTGAAACAGGGCAAGAGATTATTGGGTGAAGGATAAAATGTAATAATAATTACTTACTATATGAAACTGTAACTTCAAACCCAGAATGTTATTTTAATGATGAGAAAGATGAAATTTTTAAAGAAGATTTTTAAGGGAGGAAATGTTTCATATCCTTTAAAAAGAGGCATGCAGTTGTACAGGTAATTTACCCCAGTAATAAGTTGGGGGGGTGGGTAGCTCATGCTTTGAATTCCAGGCCCTCTTCTTTCTCTTTATCCCCCCATTCTTTTGTTCTGCACTATAATAACACATAGTACACAAAACACTGAGAAGCCACACAACCCAGAGATGGGGCTTTGCTTTTATTCTTGATAACCTTGACTTTGGCGATTACTCAGTACAAACTCAAGACCTCATTATTTGATTAAAGTTGAAGTTTTCAAAGTTCATTTAAATCTTCATATGACCAATGGCTAAAGAGCTTAAAAAGGCAGTTTTATTTGATTCAAGGAGTTAATTCCAAGGAGATACTTAACACTGCATTGACCTTTATAGTTTGCATGACCTGAATATACCATGTGAGTTAATGAATGCTTTTAACATCCAGGGTCATGAATGATTTTTAAAACCAAGTTCTGTTTATAAGGAGTTGGGTCTTGTTGTTGTTTTGGTTTGTTTTTTACATTCTCTTTCCTTTTCTCTTCCAAACTGAAAATCAATTATTTTCTTATGACTGATCGGTTAGGGAAATGCTGTGATGTTTCTCGAATGATAGATATATGGTGATTGCAGAAATGCTGGCGATGGTGATCGAAATTTTGGAAGCGGCGTTGTTGCCTCCTTTGTGAAAGGACAAACCATAGAACTGAGCGATTTTGAGTTGCCTTCTCTGCACATCCCTCCCTTTAACCTCCACGTCATCCACACTGAACTCAGGGCAGCTCTGAGGCGCTCTCGGGTGTGCTTTGCTTTGCTTTGCAGCCCCATCTTTTCACTTCTGTTAAGTCTTCCCTAAAATGTAGACATTCCTGCTGGGGCACAGGTAAGGATGTGTGTTCGTCCAGTACCTACCCCCCTCCTTCAGTCCTGGTAGATGAAGTTTACTTTTTGATAATAGCACTTCATTCTTTAATACAGAAGGAGGCTATACCCTGAACCTAGAAATAAAGTTTAGGTTTTTAATTTTTTCCATTATCATTTCATGTTTTTCTTTATCTGCAGGTTCAACCTAATTTCCTTTCCATGAAAGATTGGGTTTCCATGGTGTTTGAGACTCTCCTGGTCATTGTGGATAGCCACTACCAACCCAGAGGACGGCTTTTCTCCTGCTTTTATTATGTAAGTTTGAAAAATAAAAAATGATTAGCAAACTCAAGGGTTGACTCTTCTCATGTCAGCTATTCACATGAAATCCATGATGTTATGTAATAATTCTTAGGTGTACCTTAGAATCACCGGGGGAACTTAAAAAATATATATATACATATATATGTGTATATATATATGTATGTATGTATAATTGAAAAAAGAAATACTGGTATGTACGCCTTACCTCTGACTTAGTTGCTCAGCGATAGGCACAGAGCATCAGCATTTCGGAAGCAGTCCAGGCTATTTTAACCTGTAGTCAGAGTCAAGAGCTACAGTTACAGTAAAATGAAGGAGTTGCGTTTCTCATCATAGTTTTTTTTTTTTTTTTTTTTTTTTTCTTTTCCCCATTTCAGTGTATGTAGCTCAGGCACTTAATCTCTCAGGACCTTTGTTTCCCTGTGTATAAAATGAGGCGATTGAGCAATATATAGGGATTGTAGTTCTCCCTTCATCCCTTATGAGTTTTGTAACTGTTGACCTGATACTTAACCCATCATCTTATTTTCCTTATCTGTAAAGTGAAGGTAAAAACGAATGCTTTGCCAACTTCATAAAAGATTGTGAGGATCAAATTATACAATTTATGGGGGAAAAATGTTTTGAAAATTGTGAAATACTTTACAAATACAAAATAATATTGTACATAAGAAAGTTCCTATTAGTCATTCTCTTTCTTCATGCTTATATCCTAAGATTGGAAGCAAATTGAAAACACTTCTTTTTGTTTAGGTTTCCTCTTCCCTTTATTGGCTGTATTGAACACTTTATTTCTGTATCTGTGTGGAATTCCTTTGTCTCTGCCTTATCACCCATTGCTTAGAGAATTACAGTAATCGTGTGACAATCAGCTGAGTGGCAGAGGATTATAGTTGATTTGAATTAAATATAGCACAGGCCCTGAACAGTTGCTAAGATCACAAATGAAGCCTGAAACTTTGTTGCCTTCGGTCTTCTCTGTGTGCCTCTGTCCTCCTGCCCTTGGGAAGGACCGCTTACTCATCTGGGGCTTAGGGTCTGGAACTAGGTTTTTAACTATACTTAAGAACAAAAAAATAAGTAAATAAGACAACTTTCTAGATAATGTAGAATAAACTTGGAAGGTAGATTTTCCTCACAGAAGTATTTTATTTATTTAGTGTTATTTATTTATTTTTATCCTCTCTCAAGGACATTTTTGAATTTATCTTTAGATACAGCGGGAGGGAGAGAGGGACAAAGAGAGAGAGAGAGAAACCTCGATGTGAGAGAGACACATTGACTGGTTGCCACCCACACGACCCCAACCGGGGCCGGGGACAAACTTCAACCAAGGTACATGCCCTTGGTGGGAACCGAACCCAGGACTCTCTGGTCTGCTGGCCAACACTCCAACCACTGAGGCAAACCGTCCAGGGCCAGAAGTATTTTCTTTACAATGATTTGTTTTCTGTCGGAAGTGTTCTTGTTTGTTAATGGTAGGTGGAAGTTGTGTTCGTTTATATACTCTTCGCAATAGCTCTCTGGTTCAGATATTCAGCAGGACAGGATATTTGATAGATTTCTAATAATGCTGCTTAGTTCTTGCAAACCAATAAAAATAATCTTCTTACTAGCTAGGTCAGGGTTGCTTCTTACCTTTGTGATTTTTGCATTGTTATACTTTTTCAAAGCCTTGTTTCCAAAGTCACTTTTTTTATTTCCAGTGTCCTAGCAGCTGGGTCATTTTGAGTAGTATTGTCATTACAATAGTGCTAGATTAACTAAAAGAATACCCTAGCACATGCTTGATTTTTATCCTTAAAGAACTAAAACTTAGAGAGCAAACAAGTATAGAATTAAAAACACTGTTTTTTCCATGGATTTTTAGAGAGAGTGGGAGGGAGGGAAGGAGGGAGAGAGGGAGGGACAAGAACATAGAGAGAGAGAAAGAAAGAAAGATGTGAGAGAAAGACATTGATTGGTTGCTTCTTGCAGCACCCCAACCAAGGTGGGGATTGAACCTGCAACCCAGGTACGTGCCATTAACCGGAATCGAACCCAAGACCCTTTGGTGCATGGGCTGATGCTCTTAACCACTGAGCCACACCAGCCCGGGCTAAAAACACTTTTTAGTATGCTTGAATGACAAGAGACAACACTGCCTTTATGGTGTGTATGACAATTTAAAGCAGGTAGTAGTGAGATGTGATAAATGGACTTTCTCCCCCACTTGAGACATGTTTTTGAGTATGTGTAACGTCTGGTGCAACTCTCAGACATGACATTCTGGTAGAAGCTGTTCATATTCAGCTGCCTTGTCCTGGTATTAGGCTGTTATTCACTTCTTTTCCCATAATTGCATGTAGGAAGGAGCTCTCCATTTCATTTTCAATAGCTGGTTATTGCTTTGTAACCAGAGGCTTTTAGGATTTCAACTTCCTTTTTAATCAAAAAGAATTAACCCCCTGTAGGAAATAATCCATCTACTGGGCACTGTTCCCACCAAAGATTTTGGGAGATCTGCCAATAGATCCCTGTGCTAAATTTACACTGGTCCCTCCATACTAAACTTAAACTGCCCCCTCCCCTTTCTTGCTCTCCCAAAAAACTCTGGCTTTCTGGACATTTATAATGTGGCTGGGTGGTTCTCCAAGCTTGGATAGCTTCACTTTGGGTTTTTCATTATATACACATGTAGGCTTTCAAAACACTGACATTGTTTCTGGCTTTCTAGTGAGGGAATTCACACCCTTTAAAAGGAGGCACTTAGAATTTGTTTTTTTGTTTTCTTTTTTCACATTTAAAAGGATATTATTAGTTAACAAATTGTTTAGCTGCCAGTTGTTTCAGCAAGAGTGAAAACGTAACATGCAGACAAACACAGCGACAGATTTTCTAAATTATATTTCTGCTTGGCAGGGGTGCATCTGACAGAGCTTGTATTGCCGCATAGTGCTTCTGTGATAGGTGTGTTTCTGCCCTGTTTTCAACAAAAGGCCAACCCCCCGTTTTCTGTCTTTGGCATGTCCTAGAAATCCTATTCTGGTGAAAACACAGCTAGTGCCATCGCCCGCTCTGCAGCCGCCTCGGCTTTGTCTCTGCTTGTGCCAGTTTTCATTATCTGTTGCAAGGAGAAGGTGGAGGAAATCCTGACCACGCTGACTGCCAGGTTACCTGGGAAACCGAGTGCTGATGAGTCTCAAGCCGTGCAAATCCACGTGGGCCTTGCTCTGGGGATGTTTCTCTCTCGCTTGTGTGAGGAAAAACTCAGGTACAGTTTATTAAAATGGCCCTGTGTTTCCTATTTGTGGTGCAGGCGGACACACAGACACACAGACACACAGACACAAGCCTTGGGCCTGCAGTAGGTGCCTGCTGAAGTTTTTGAGATGGACAAGTCGACCATGCAGTCTGCTTCATGAGTGAATTTGTCTTTCTAAAATACCATCACATAGATATTAAAGTAGTTTAAGGGTTGCTCTTATTAAAGTGATAGATTACTTGAACTTCATTTCCTGCTTAGATGAAAGCCCTGAATACATCTGTGTAATCAGTGTGAGCAAAAGTCTAATCTCATGGTGTCATGAATAAAGAAAAGCTGCTTCTTCCCCGTTTAGAGGGTGAAAACGACTGCTGACCCCGATACCACTGTGAAATGGAAGGAAATGATTGGGGTGCCCTGTGCCTGAGGGTGTGGGAATCACTGAATCAGCCGAGAACTTCACGTGCCCCCTGTTCGGTGCTGCTTTTATGCCTGGCCCTGGCTGCAGGCGGACAGACCTTCAGAAGTCTCAGTCTGCGCGTGGTATACTGGGTGGTTTATTCAGTTGGATGGCTCGGGTTTGGGCCGCTCGCTTTACCCTTGAATGGAGCTAGTAGACTATCAAAGACCCAGGTGGAAAATTCCACTAAATGGGAAACTCTTCCTGTACATGAATCTAGTTTTGTTACTCATTTTATTTTTTTATTTTGTAACAGATCTTAGAATTTTATATATGTGGATTTATTGTAGTGTGGTACAGCATGCATATTTGAGTATCATGAATATTTAGACGTCACTGACTTGGAATTTAGCCCCATTTCCCGGCACTAGAGCAGGCAGTAGGGAGAGGCATCCCGCGTGGTATGAGGTGATGTTCCACTTCCCTGGTCGGCAGAGATGGACTGTCTGCACAAAGGCAAGAAATGGTGCTCTTGTGGATAAACTGGATGACATGATGCTATATTTAGATCTGAGTTTAAAACCAGTGGTTACGTTTCCATGTGTAATTTACAGAGTTTTGTGCAGATCTGAAACCTTTATGAGAATTGCTATGCTCTATTGACCATATTTCAGATAATCATTTTCATCCCTTGGAAACATCTGTCAGACGATTGGGAAGGGTTGGCTTAGTCTTTGTGGTCATACGTGAAACGTTTCCAGAATGTTCATTTTGTTCTCGTCTGCAGTGTTAGTATATATAGCCTGGTTCTGCACGTGAACAAAGAGCTGCCCTTTGCATGTGAATTCACTGCTGCATGTTTTGTGTGTGTGACAGAACAGACAGTATTTTTAAAGACTTAAAATTGAAAGTGATTTTTTTTTCCCTTTGCTACTATGCTACAAATGGCAGTCTCGTCGCCATCTGTGTTCATGCTCTTTCTTCAGTATCTTTTCAAGCAGCATGTTTTACAACTAAAAATGAGTCCTGGCAGCTTAATTCCAGGTGACTTGTCACTCCCTCTCCTGGCTCTGGCTCGCTTTCTCATTAGTTTTAGGTGGGCTGCTGCTGGTTTAGGGCTTCACAGGCGTTTGTGGTTAATTGAACCACAGGACCTGGAGAAACCTCTGGCGATCCAGTCAAGCACTCGTCTCTGGCTCCCAGGCTGCCTCCCACCCCTTTCTGATGTCACTGAACCGGGCACCTGCGGGAACCCTGGGGAAGGACACGGGAAGCTCCTCCCATGGCCGAGTGCCCCCAGAATAGCTGCAGGTCTTAGTTTTGCCTTAATGCTTCTGGGTTTGGTAGCGTTCTCCTTTTAGCTGGTGTATTAGCACTGCAGCCACCAGTAAAATTATTCATCGTTCCCACCTTCCTGATTTCTTGGAGCAGAGGAATCTGAAATATATGCTTTTGGAACTAAAAAATCTTTTGCTAGGTAACAACAATGCCATCATATAATGGCATTCTTGGAGAAAGTTTCCATTTTTCTGAAGTTAAGGTAAATGTCTTGAGGGCTGTTGACTCTGACTAATCGATGACATCAAATAAGTGGCCCAAATAGGATGAGGACAATGTGCTGGTCTCAAGAATGGAAGTCACCTTGTAAAAGAGAATTGTGACAATCAATCCATTTTTTGCTAAAGCTGATGAAAGTAAAGTCACCTGAATTTAAATTCCAATCTAGAATTTATTCAAGAAAGCGTATTATTTCAAAGCTTGCTTAAGTCTTAACTCAGAGGATACTAGTACTTGAGCATTTGTTTAGCATATTTAAATATAATTTAATCCAGAAAACAACTATAGTAGGACTTATTAGTTACAAGTATTGAGAGAGAGAGAGAGAGAGAGAGAGAGAAAGAGAAAGAGTGTGTGTGTGTGTGTGTGTGTGTGTGTGTGTGTGTGTGTGTGTTGAAAATTTAATCCTTTACCTCAAGCAAAGTCACTCTAGTCCTGGTTTGAGAAGACATGGGAAGTGCTCCCTGGCTGGTCGGTGTTCCTGGGGCCTCAGTCCCATTAGCATTCGCTGAGGCAACAGCCTGACAGTTGGCATGTGGGACCCTCGAAAATCAAGTGCTGGTGATGAAGCCCACAACCCTGCCAGAAAAAACTACTTTTTAAGTTTATTTTACCATGCAAGTCATAGTTCTCACCAAGATTATTACAAAATCACGTCAATCACCATAGACAGAAAAATATAGGGCTGGTGTTTTTTCCCCCCCCTTTTAAAAAATGTAAGTAAAGGAACAGAGTTTGTAACCTCCACAATTGAGACATGAAATCAAAATTAGCAGTCTGCACGAAAGAGATGTGAACTGCCATTGGTAATTTGAGCTTAATGGGTTTATTAAATATTCTCAAGACAATCACTTCAGCATTCTTAGAAATATCTTTTTTTAAATGAATTCTGACTTTGGTTCTTATTTTTTAGTGATTTAAAATTTGAATGGGCTAATTCTGTGACAACAGGGATGGACTTAGTATTATATTAAGTGAAATAAGTCAGAGAAAGACAAATATAATATGATTTCACTTACATGTGGAATCTAAAAAAAGAAAATAAACAAAGCAGAGACAGACTCATAGATACAGAGAACAAACTGATGGTTACCAGAGGGGCAGGGATGGGAGGATGGATGGAAATGGTGAAGGGAAACAAGAGATACACACTTTCAGTTATAAAATAAGCTACAGGGATGTAGTGTATAGCACAGGGAACATAGTCAATAATATGGTAATAACTTGGTGGTGACAGATGGTTACTAGACTTATTGTGGTGATCACACGTTAAGGTGTATAAATGCTGAGTCACTATGTTGTTCACCTGAAACTAAAATAATATTGTCTGCCAACTACACTTCAATTACAAGGAAGTTTTAATGAGCTGAGAAAATGCAAAAGTAGCAGTGTTAGGGTTTATTGGTTTGCAAATAATTGTAATGTTCAGAAACGCAATTGAATAAATTTTCTGACTCAGTTTCTCTGTCTACAAATTAAAGTACATATGAATTGTCAATATTATTGATTGTTACTTTTATGGTTTTTTTTTTAAATAAGTGCATTTTCAGTAAAATATTGAGAGCAAAATATTATACAATAAGTATTTTGGACAGTTGAGTATTTTTAAATAATCCATCTTTCCTTTGGTCTTTACCCAGTGATGTTTCTGGCCAACAGATGAACCTGCTTCTGATGAAGTCTTTAGATGCCCTGGAAAACTGCTGCTTTGACACCAGTCTTGAGTACAAGTATGTTGAGTCCCCCTCCGCTCTAACACACACTTAGAGATTCGTTTTTTTCTCTGCCACATATTATGTATTCAATGGTGAACTCTTTGTAGGACCCAATCCTGAATTCCTTTGCAAAGTATTTTCAGTAATTATCAAAAATCTGTAATTAAAGCTTAGTTGTTCTGAAAACTATGTTTCAGTTTGAACAAAACAGTTTGTTTCAATACAAAGCAGCACATGTCATTTTGTGGCTGTCATTAGTTTACTATTACCTAGCTCTGTCTTCTACATATCCTGTTAAGCATATATTTGGAGGTTTGTGTGCATGAGTTAACCTTTTGAAGAAAACTATTTTTTGTGTTTTTTTTTTTAATTTGATTAGACTGAGAGAGTCTTCGACCCATGATTTAGATTTCCCCGTGAAATCCAGTGTCTGGAGAATCAAAATGGAAACAAATACAGGTTACACCAGGGGTTTCCCACCTCCTCAAAGTTAATAGATCCTTTTTCACCCCACTGACCTCATGATTTTTAAACATTTTTTTCTATTGAACTAAATATTTTAAAATTCATTTTCTCATTGCCATCATGAAAGATAACCAAAGAGGAATAATCAGAAAATAATACCTCAAAAAACAGTGTTATACACTCATTTAGTGAGACGTTTAGTGTTTCAGTTAGTCTATGTGACTTGGGTCGGGAGAACATATGGTTCCATTAGGCTCTCTGAAGTGTTGACACCATTGGGGACCACACTGTGCCTTTTGGGGCTTACACACATTTTGGAACCTAAGGTTTGGATCCTCTGCGTTTTGTTGTTACTTGGAAACTCAACAGATTATAGACACTGACCTCCAATTTATGAACTCACTTTTTGCCATTACGGGCATTGTTCCAATAGGAGTTAAATCAGTGTTTACATTTCTGGTCTTTAGGAACTTATGATCTGAAGTTACATTCATACCATCTAGCTTGTTTGTTCAAACTAACAAAAAGGTAAATGATAGAAGTCACTTCGTGCATCAGGTATTTCTTTATGAATAAACAAATTCAAATCTTCACATAGTCATTGGTCGAGACGGGGGTCTTCTTTCAGATGCAGGCTAAGCTTGGATAAGAAGCACTGACTCCCACCCAGTTTATGACAAAAACACTTTAGAGATGGCACCCATGATAAGAGTGTGGCTTTGATTGTGAGAAAAGAGAGTTCAGTGGCATGGTTGAAGTCTCTTGAATATAGAGAATGATTAATGGAAGGTATAAAGCCATGTAACTGTTCCTGGGTCTTATGAAAAGGTGAGATTTTTGAGCCGAATCCATGTATTGGTGGTGTTCCCTTTTATAACCAAGGAGTAAGCTGGGCTCTCTCTCTCTCTCTCCTTTCTTCTTTCTGCCTTCAACTCAAAGGTGTACATCATAGCTATAGCTCAAGTACTATAAAGTTAGGAAAAATTTTTGTGATTAAGATGCTCCAAACTTTCATCCATTTGAAACAGTCAAGAATGACTTTCATGTATTATCTTTATTAGTCTCCAGGAAGGTTGTTTGAATGTAAGGAGAACAGTGGGAATAGCTGAATTATCCACAGTGTGGGCATTCATGCATGTAAGAACTAACCATGTCTAAGTATATTCGACTTTAAATGAACTTTTTAGATTAATAAGATTCTTCTTTTTTGATTTTTACCTTCTTTTCTTACCTTCCTAACTATTTTTTTAAATATGATTGAGCACATGTATTTGGGAGAGGGGGAGAAAGGCTAGACAGGGGACTGATCCTGCAGAGTCAGGTGAAAAGGGCCAGCGGACATTTGCTGTCCATTTTGTTAGATCCTGCTTGTCTGTCAGTGCCTGATTTAAGCTCGGGTTCTCAAAAAACCCTCTCTCTGTCCTCTCAAAACTCCAGTTATGCCCATAGTTGATGACATTGTATGTTTTGTCTTTTCTAATCTGTGTGGGTGGCAGTGCTCATGTTGTTCCCTCTTGGTTTGGAGTTCAGTTAATACTGAGCAGCCACAACTGTGCTAGGCGTTTTCATATCCACTCCTCGTGTGATTAAGCCCTGGTTACACCTCCTTGTTGATACTAAGGCAGGACTCATCATCACTGTGGTTTACTGGTGAAGAAAGTGTGTCTCAAATAGGAAACTGGTTCAAGGTCACACAGTAAGTGGCGGAACTTGGAGAGAAATCCTAGGTGTGTGACCTCAAAGCCATTTTTCTATCTTGAATAGCACAGCATTGAGGACATTGGAACAGAAAGGAAGCTGGAATATTATTCACAATAAAAAGGAATGAAACCTTGCCATTAGCAAAAACATGGATGGACCTAGAGGGTATTTTGCTAAGTAAATCAGACAGAGAAAGACAAATAACCATATGATTTCACTTATATGTGGAATCTTAAAAACAAAAAAAATGAATAACCAAACAGAAACAGACCCTTATATGTGGAATCTAAAAAGCAAAACAAATGAATAAACAAACAGAAACACTTATATGTGGAATCTAAAAAACAAAACAAATGAATAAACAAGCAGAAACAGACCCTTCGATGTATAGAACAAGCTCATGGTTGCCAAAAGGGAAGGGATTGGAGGAATGGGTGAAATAAAATAAACATACATTTTTTTTAATCAGGAAAAAAAAAAAAGAAAGCAGTTTGATCCTTGACGGTATGGTGTTTATTATTTTTTCTTTGACATGTGGGTCTTGCTTGCCATTTGAAAAAAATGTGTCTAGTCTCAGGCTTGAATGCTTGGCTCATGGCATCAAGTATTCCTCTGTCTAATGAGATTGCAGGAGTCTAGGGCAGTTGCCCTCCCTCAAGTGAAATGGTGGAAGCATTACCAGGAGGTAGTTAATAGATCTGGGAGCCTGCTACCTCAAGTAATAGAATTCACCCAGAGCAAATTCACCACGCTTCCTTGATTTAATGGACATGTCCCTGCTGAGAGAACCAAGCACCTGTACTGGTCTGTTTGTAGTCCTATCACTTACAATGTGCTGCCATCTAGTGGTACTCCTTGTGCCATTGCAGTCCTCGCAGTCCTAACTAGTCATGCTATCCACCTGAGCGCTGGTTAATCACTATTGAGCTTTCACAAATACGACAATATTTGTATAGTACTTTGTAAAGGGTAAAGTGCTATACGAATGTTAACTGCTATTAGAACTAATTATTAGAAGGCCTAGTACTTAATCTTCAGGATAGCCTACAGTAAACTGGGGAATTGAGGATTGATCTCTGGTTAATTTTGGAAAAATATAGCATTACATCTCAGTTGATATAGCAAAGCGCATATTAGAATTGCATAGCTTTTAAGTCGCAGAATTTCTTTTTGGTAGAAATATATATATATATATATATATATTTATCCTCACCCCAGGACATTTTGTTTTGCATTTATCTTCAGACAGAGAGAGAGGTAGAGAGGGAGAGAAAGAGAGAAAGAAACATCAATGCGAGAGAGAGAGAGACATTGATTGGCTGCCACCCACATGACCCCAGCTGAGGCCGGGGACAAACTGCAATCGAGGTACCTGCCCTTAGCGGGAACCGAACCCGGGACTCTCTGGTCCGCAGGCTGATGCTCTAACCGCTGAGCCAAACTGGCCAGGGCTGGTAGTAATATTTTAATATACTTGGATAAGACATTTAAATAACTAATGGCATAATAGGACATATAATTTTAAAACTCAATTATCTATCATTTGTTAGTATTGTTTTGTTTTGTTTTTTCTTTTCTTTTTTAATCCTCACCTGAGGGTGTGTTCATTGATTTCTAGAGAGAGAGGGATAAATATCAATGTGAGAAAGAATCACCGATCGGTTGCCTCCCATACATACCCCAACTAGAGATTGAAACTGCAACCTAGGTATGTGTCCTGACTGGGAATCGAACCTGCAGCCTTTTGGTGTATGGGGTGACCCTCCTGGGCTGAGCCACCCAGCCAGGGCTTAGTATTCTTACAGAAAATTTACGTTAGCAATTCAAAAACCTCAATTTTATACCTAATAATGCTTGTTTTTATTTCATCTGTCTGAAATACCAACACTTTTAACTCCTTTCTGTTTCCAATGAACAGAGAGATGTGAAAGCTACCTCTGCCTATTATTCTTGCTCTAGAGCTGGCAGGCATATCAAAGGGAAGCTGGAATGAAGTCAAGTATAGAAATGTTGAACTGAGCACTTGGGGAATCTTTAAGACTTAGGACAAAAAATAAATACATTAAAATATATATAGAAGATTTGGAAATCAGAAGGAAACTTCAGGAATAAAGATTTAGAACTACCTTTTTGGTGCATACTGGAAAAATGAAACAAAGAAGGAAACAATTTTGTAGGTCAATAGGTGCACACACTCTAACATATTTACATTGGCACTTACGTACATAGATTATGTATTCATATATTACAACAGTTAAATGATTATGACTGTGGCAATGAATAGAATCATTCATGAATGTAACCTTGTCTAAGACTAATTATGCTGTGATAATATTTAGGTAAATGCAAACTAAAAACCCTGATCTCTTTTTCTAAGCCTTTGTACCCATATGCCTTGTGATGGGGAAGGAAGAACTTCAGTCCAGGGGATAAAGATTTTTCTGTGCCCAAAATGCAAGATGTAGATAATTGCCTGTTTTTTAGAAAGATGAACCCCAGTACTTAAGTGAACTTTGGAAGGAATCCTTTTTCCACACGAACCTGACACCCCTTTTTCTTTCATTAGTCTGGCGGGAAATAGAAACCAAGTTTTCTCGACTGAATCTTGGATGGTACATTCCATGGATTTTACAACTCATAAATTTTGCCTCTGACTAAACAAAAGAATCAAGTCTTGGTGTTCTTTTCATTGTTGTTGTTGGTTTTTTGGTAGCTCTTCTCTCCACTTTAGAATCCCTTGAGACTCTGCATTTGGTCACTTCTCGGCATTCAATAAGTATCAGTGGGATGCCTGGCCCCATCCAGCAGTGTACTTGGTGTTGCAGATATTGTGGTGAGGAAAAAACAGAGAGGCACCCACCCTCATGGAGCTTGCAGACTAGTGAATGAAATGGATGGTAATTAAACAATCCCCCAAATAATCCTCATCAGAGTTTATAATTAAAATTGTCTGAAGTAAATTAGTACAGGGTGCTATGGGAGAATAGTAAAGAGGTTCCTTGCTGGGCCAGGCAAGGTGTCCCTGAGGAAGTCACATTTGTAATCTGAAGCATCAGTAGTAATTAAATAGTCAAAGAGGGAGCAAAAGTCAAAATTTTCAAAGTATTAATCACATTTTGTCTATCTCTATCTTCGGTGTAATTCTATCCAAATTTTATATGCATCAGTATCAAAAGATAGCCAGAAAAACTTCCCCATAGATTCTGAATGAAAAGAAAGACTTGAATCCATACTAATGAGAGCAGCCTCTCCTTCAGAAATGTGCTTTGTCTCAAAAGCATTCAGTGTTCAGATGCTCGATGCCGATGTAACTGGTTAGCAATGCATTATGCTGGCCGAGCATGTTGCTAAATTTGTGTTAGCTGTCCCAGCATCTCTGCCTGACTAATGCTGGATTATTACTGCAGCAGCTTCTTTACAAGGGATTTTCTAATGCCAGACTGTTATGTAATAGAACCTAGAAAAACACACATGAGCCATGTTGCCTTCTCATAGGCATTTCATCATGGCATCATGCAGGGCACCAGGAGGGGTTTGACAGATGGAACAGAAGGCTGGGAATTAAAAAAAAAAGAAAAGAAAAGTCTTCTGGCCATGCTCCACTTGAAATGCTCTGCATGACCCTGAGCAAACCCTGTAGCATCCCCCGCCTTTGGGTGTCTCTTATCAGATGCTGCTCTATTTGCACAGAGGTGTTGGAGGAAATAACCAACATGTTCATGAAACGATGCGAAGGTTCTTGGTGCCAGCCAAGGAGACTGATGCTATATGATAGCAGTGACATAACATACAGGCATTGAAACCTGTCATTGGAGAAATGCCCTGGAATGTCTCCTTAAGCAGCGGCTATGAGGAGGAGAGGCAAGCCAAACCAGAGCAAGGATGATTGCTGAAAAACTCCATATTCCCTCAATGTAAAGAGCAGCAATGAGGACAGAAACTTTTTTTTTTAAGTGAGAAATTACCTCCAAGCCGCATTATCTTATCATTCTAACTAGAAGTTTGCTGGGAGAACAATTCATTTCCTTAAATGGATATGTATTCTTTCAGGAGAATTGGGGCACAAAAAGCCCCAGGTCCCAATTGAATTGTCACACGGGGTAACTTTTGACAAGCCTGTCATCTGTCCATTTTCTCTCTGACCCACTGGTACTCCGAGGGATCAGAGGGGAGAAGAGGATTAATGTCATTGTGCACAGACGAATATAGTTCTTTAAGAAAGAAATTCCATTTGTTGGAGTTGACTGGGAAACATGAAGACTTAGCAGGACCTCGTAATCATGCCCTGCATTTATCCCCGTTATTAGAAGTCCTCAGCTCGTATCCCGAAGTTGAGTCTTTTCTGTCCTTCTGCAGCTCATCGGAGAGCACCCCCCATGGGGCGCGGAGGGGCCACAGCTCCTCGCAGTGCAGAGGGCACTGCTTACACGGCTGTTGACGCCTCCTCCTCTCCAGTTGGAGCTGTCGTCCAACTATGTCATGTTTTTACTTGTTTGTTTTTCTCCAGTGGGTACACGCCACTAGCATGGGCCACAGACACTTGTTATAAAGGTTGCCTTGGGGGGGAGGCTTGTGGTGTTTCTGGGGCACACTGACATAGCAGGCCACAGAACCAGAATCCAGTCCCCTCAGACTGTGACGCACCGTGCACTCCTGGGACAGGTGAAGAGCGGCACCCTGGGCTTCTCGTAGCTTTTAACACCTCATCTTCTTTGGCATTTAAGCACGGGCAGTATCCTGGGAGTTGGACTTGCTCTGTCCCTCATGAGCCACAGCAGCCAAACGGAGTCGCGAGTTCACGTGGCAGTGTCTCTCCGGAAGCTCTCTGCGTACCTGGAGGACAGTGGGGACCAGAGCAGAACCTTTCAGGAGGTAGGAGACAGTAGGCGACAAAGTGACAGTTTTCTTCCCTTTTCCGGCTCCTGTTTTCTTGTCGCTGTTTATTTTCTACTTCTCATGTTTTGGAGACCCTAAAATTAAATTCTTCCTCAGTGGCAACTGTGGTAAGGAGAAAACCTGAGTGGCAGACAACCTATATGAGAGGTGAGGTTTTCAAAGTGTGCAGCTATTTAAATGGCCGAGACTTAAATGTGGCATTGGAGATAAGAGCCGAGTGAATGCGAAAGCCTAAGTCAGCATCACTTGAAGGCCCTTTCCAAGAAGAGCTGCAGTTGCTGGAGGAAGTTAAATGGACAGTTTTAGAATTAGGCCCAAGCCAATGTAACTTTAAAAGACGACGCGGGGAAAAGCTGAAGAAATTGCAGATTGAAAAGGCATTTGCTTTTTTTTTTTTAATGTCAGCCAGCATGAAAAATTATTGAAGAGATTCCCGTTACCCCATTAAATGAAGAGCTTTGCCTGTTGTGGTGCAAAAATATGCAGGATTGCAGTTCATGTGACACCATCTGAGTGCTTGGAGGGCACGTCCGAGGCGGGGTGTCTGCTGTGCCCAGGTGAAGCCGGAGGCGTGCACTGCCCTGGGAGGAGCTGGGAGACCTCTGGCCTGGCCAGATTCTCCCTCTCATGAGAGCGGACTGTTTTGTCCCCGCCTGCCATGAGCTATTGACGAGCGCATAATGGCTGCTGTGTTCCCCTGCTCGGCTCCTCTGCACTCAGACGTGGGACTTGTTGAATCGGTGAATTTCTTGGGGGCACAGAAGGTTGAAGTTTTGTTCTAAGACATGGACCACATTTCCATTTTAAAGCAGAGCATGATTTAAAAGTGCATCTTTTTTGAAGCAAAAGGTGAAATTTTGCAACCAAGGAGCAATTTGGCTAATAAGTGAAAGCAAGGTTTTCATAATTGAGGCATTTGACTGCTTGATGTTTTGATTTAAAGGCCTTGGGCAAGCATTTTGTTTTTTCTCCCCGCTCACATTTTATTATCCAATTTTTACCTTAGAAACTGCTCCCTTTTTTTTTCATGCCGTATAAACCAGTGTTAAGAGGCGAACATGTCCACTTTGTCTTAAGAGTATCTTTGTTAGGGAGGCTTTTCATCATGAAAATGCAAGATAGCAGGAAGTGGGTAATTAACTTTGATTTGCAAAAATTGAGGCTCAAATGGATTGTTTGACTTGCCCAACATTTCTTAGCTAATAAATGATCAATTTGGAACATACACTTGAGTATTCTGTCTCTACTCTCAGCATTTTTATTTGCAATTTGTCCATGTATTCATTTATTTATTTATTCACTTGCTCATTAAATTATTCTACAGTGCTATGAAGTAAGTAGTATTATCTCTATTTTACCCAATTTGTCTGACTCTAAAACCCACAGTCGTGGGCCATTATGTTCCTCTACTGCTGCTGGGGAATCTTAACGTAGCACTGTTTCTGTTTCCTCTGCTGTTTGGCCTTGGATCGAAGCCTGTGGCGGTGAGTAGCAGCCACTGTGCTGAAAGTCTGCTTCTGCTGTTTGTAGGTGGTGTGTTTTGCGTTGGTGAGGGCACTCTCTGGTGTTGAGTATAAAGACCTGGATTTGAATCTCACCTCTGTCACTTGCTAACTCTATGTAATTGAGCCTCAATATCCTTACCTACAGAGTGGGAATAACGACACCCATCTCATAACATTGTTAGGAAATATAAGTTAGGCTGCGAAGCAATGTCCGGTCTGTGGTAAGTGTATTTGATTGAATCCAGTCCTATCCTGGGGAAAACTGTGACAGAATATTTGTGTCAACTAAACCTTGTTCTTTTCCTTTCCCTCATAAAGAAACATTGTCCTGCTGTCTTTTCTTCCCAGGTCCTTGCCTATACCCTTAGCTGTGTGTGTACAGCAGCATTCAGTACTGGAATTATTGAGGCTGCAGAGGCTGAAGATATTATGAACAAGCTTCGACTGTTGGTAGAGAGCAACCAGCAGGTTGGAATGCGTGCCCTGATCATTTCTCTCTGTGGGTCTCATGCTGCCGCTAAGCCCCAAGTTTGACTTACTCTGATTAGAGCATAATGGGATATTTTTCATGGCCAGAACTGAGAAATTTCTAACTATTCTCTTGTCTCACAGCTCTAGCTAACAACTATAGGTGTCTAGGTGTCTTTTGTCTCCTTATCCCCCTATGTTCTCCTGTAGACTTTGTTTTTATTGGTCGGAGAGAGTGCAAAACCTTTCAATATGAATATGTAGAGGGTTCCGATAAGGTCAAACCTTAGCAAACTGAAGGTGAAGAATCCTTGCTTATGACTGAATAGGTACAGGAAAATTTAAATGCCTGTAAATTAAATTAAATACCCTTAAATGTTCCCTCTGAAATATTATTCAGCCTTAAAAAAAGAAGTAAATCCTATGTACAACAGGGATATTGTGCTAAGTGCAACAGACAAACACAAAAGGACGCACACTGTATGATTCTGTTTATATGAGGCACGTAGAGTCATCACATTCATAGAGACAGAAAGTACAGGGGTTGCCAGGGGCCGGGGGAGGAGGAATGGGGAATTATTGTTTAATAAGTATAGAGTTTTGCAAAATAAAAAGAGTTCTGGAGATGGATGGTAATGATGGTTGCACGATAATGTAAGTGTACTTAATACCTGAATTGCATAATTAAAAATGGTTAAGATGGTAAATTTTATGTTATATGTATTTTACCACAATTTCAAAAATTGGAAAAAAAAAAAAAAGTTCTGTCTTATTACACATGCTCTAGAATTTTTCCATTGCTGGTGGCAGTGGTGGTTTGTTTTTTTAAGGTTTCTCTAAAGTCTTAATATTGGCCATAGTGAGTTAGTTCAGGATTGACTGGTTTTAAACCTAAACTGTTTGGTATTGTTACTACTTTATGATTATATGCCTGCTCACATACAGTAGGTTTTGCAACACCAAAACATAGAAATTCATACATGCACTGTTCATTACAAGACATCTCTCTTCTTGTTTGGGAGTTGACTGAGCTTAGCGATCTACTTTGGTATTTTCACCGTAACCCGTTCTGAGAATGTGGATCATTTGAGCCAAGTTGCTCAGTAGCACAGTGTTATTTTCCTCAAATAAACCACTCACTGCAGCTGAATCCCTTGCAATTAGACTGTAGCTTCTGTTGCAAACCGAAGTCGAGATTTTAAAAAATCTGCCAATTTCTGATTTTCAGATGGCAGAAGAACTTTCCGTAGGAAAGGGAGCCGCTAGAAGTGCTTGTGCTGCTCTGTGTAAACATTCCTGATCTGTGCCATTATTCTTCTTTTTCCTTACCCTTCCCTGGTTTTTATTTATTTACGACAGACTTCGGGTTTCGCCTTGGCATTAGGAAACGTAGTTCATGGTTTGTCTGTGTGTGGACATGGAAAAGCTGAAGATTTGGTCAACAGACTGCTCCCTGCCTGGATCAGGACTGTTCTAACAGAGGTAGAGGTCACCTCCTGCATAGTGTTTTATTTTTGTAAAAGGGGAAAAGGGCTACTTAATTGGACCATTTATAGGTGCTTCTTAGGTATATAGCTTAACAATAAAGAATAGGCAATTCCAAGTGAAAAAGAAACATGTACTTTTCAACCCTTATAAATGATGTACTTTTCCACCCTTATAAATGATACATCCTGTCAACTATCATAGTTGTTTATTTTTAAAGAGAGAGGAATGGAGAGAGAAAGGAATGGAGAGAGAGAGACAGAGACATTGATGTGAGAGAGAAACATTGATCGCTGCCTCTTGAACATCCTCTACCGGGGATGGAGCCCACAACCAGGCATGTGCTCTGACCGGGAATCAAAACAGCAACCTTTCGGTGCACAGGACAGTCCCCCACCTACTGAGCCACACCAGTCACGGCAACTATGATCATATTTTTAAAAACTGGTTATTTGGCCCTGGCTGGTTTGGCTCAGTGGTTGGAGCATCGGCCTGCGGGCCGGAGAGACCCGGGTTCAGTTCCCACTAAGGGCAGGTACCTCGGTAGCAGTTTGTCCCGGGCCCTGGTTGGGTCATGTGGGTGGCAACCACTTGATGTGTCCCTTTCACATCAATGTTTCTCTCTCTCTCTCTCTCTCTCTCTCTCTCTCTCTCTCTCCCCCTCCCACTCTATCTGAACAAAATATCGAAAAGTGTCCCCTCCAGTGAGGATAAAAATAAATAAACAAACAAACAAATAAATAAAAACTGGTTATTTGGTCAGTGTTTTAATTTTGAAACAACATTGTGGTTTTGAAAAATAAAAAACAAGAAGCCAACTATGATCTAACTGGTTCCTTAATTCAAGTCTGAGGCCATTTTTGGTTCAGTGATACAGGTTATATTGACCCTACACATTTAGTACCATTTTGACCATTAATTTCTCTATGATACAATAAGTTTTATAGACTTCAAACCCAAGGACTGTTTCCTTCTTGACATATTCTTTGTTTTCAGGGCACTCCCACAATGCTTTGCTTGGCGGCTCTTCATGGCATGGTGGCCTTGGTAGGCTCAGAAGGGAATGTAATGCAGGTAAAAAAAAAGAAGAAGAAGAAGAAGAAGAAAGAAAGAAAAAAATCTAAATGTACATAGCCACAGCAATAGCAGAATACCTAATATCTCAGTATGCTAAGGACAGAAGGATATATGCTCATGGTTATGGTTATACTTGGTTTTGTAGTGACTTGATATATGGAAAATTGTTCTTTGCTGAGAATTCTTTGTATAGAAATTTCCCCCCTTATTTTATTTGGTTTGTAGGAATTAAACCTAGTCAACTTATGTTCTTGCCATAAAGTTCCCTGCCTGAGAAAAGTGACTGAATCATAAGAAATTCCAGAAGTCATTCATATGAAACCCCATTTTGTATCTGTAACATTTAAGTTAGTATCTAAGTAAATCTTTTTCATTTTGAAATGTTTTCCACATACATATGTGCAAGTTAATTCTAAGTACTTCCTTTGTTTGCACAGTACAGGTTTATCAAGTGACTGCTGCATGCCACTGGACTGGCGCTGGGACCAACGATAGATAAATCATGGGCCCTGCCCTCAAGGGGCGCACAGCTTTAGCTTTTGAACTATAAGGACGTAATGATAAATTACTCCACAGTTTAGAAGATGATAGCTCATACACTGGGAATATCATTATATACTTTGGGGGGGATGTCAGTGTGGATATTTCTTGTTTCTCTTTCAGCTGAAGTCAGAAGCCACTCAGACCTCTCGTTTTCAAGCCAGACTTAACGAAGTCATTAGGACCTTAACACAGGTGAGAAGAAGAATTTAAAACCTTTCGGTGGGAAAACAGATGCTCCCCTTTCTGTCTTATTTTTCTTTCATGATACAAACTGTTTTACTTAGAAGATGAGAAAATCTCTGGTTATTGGTGGTGAGTGTAAGGGGCATTTGAAAGTGAGTTGTGCCCTACGTTTGCTGACAAACATGCACTACTTCTGGAAAAAAAGAAACTGGCAGTTAGAGTTAACTTAGGTTGGCATTATTAGTTTCCCTTAAAAATTTAAACCTGACCCTGCAAGAAATGCCAGGCCCAGAGGACACGGAAAAGGGAACCGTGAAGATGCGGGCAGGCATCTAAGTGGCATGGCCGAGTGGCTTTCCTGTTTCCTTTGGAGAGTTGGTGTTCTTATTGCATATAGAACTTTGTATTCCAGTCTTGTCACTTAGCGTACTTTTCTGAGCGTACTACAGCTAATTATAGCACCCAAAGAAGTTTTAGTAATTTATGCTTTTGAAAGCAAACATGAATTTTGGAACAGAAGAAACTTTTTTATGTATGAATGTAAATATTCTCAAAAAGAAAAAAATCTACTTAAACTTAAGTTGCTATAACTTAGGAAGAAAAACATTTATAATTTAAACTATTTTTTTTATGAATGATCTAACAGTAATAAAAAATTATTTAAAGAAGAGAACAAAATAATATCTTTTTTCATTTTTAGAGGTATTTTAATCTTAAAAACCTATCCCCTCTTTTTTGGATTTTCTTTTTCAAATTTTTTGAAAATTTCTTTGAGACCAATCTTAGTGATATCTGAGACAAGCACTAGTATGCTCTTCTGTCATCAATTGATTTATTGGTTGATTGATTCATTCAGCAACACTTGTTGATCACCTATGTGTCCCAGATTTAGTAGATAGACAGGTGATATTGCATCTTGTCACAGAACTTCTCATTGCCAGACAAGCTACCACCTCATAAAAGATTAGTGACTTTCTGTGAGTGGCCTTTTATTGAATGGACTTTGGCTCATGCCCTATCACTGAACTGTTACATTTTCACCCATAGGTCATCAGTGTGTCTGGGGTGATTGGTCTTCAGTCCAATGCAATCTGGCTTCTAGGACATCTTCATCTATCTACTCTGTCCTCAAATCAAAGTAGAACCTCCGGTAAGATTAGAGCCATCGGACGTTGGAGCTGGAATGAGGGATTGCTGACTCGGGCTATGCACTTTGTTAAGAGCATTCATCTGCACAACAGCCCTAAGTGATGGGGATGGGTATTACCATCCCTGTTCTACATCAGAGGAAATGGGCTATGGAAAGGCTCCCTGACCTCCGCTGGGTCATGTGGCAGTTGGTGGTGGACACCAGCTCGAACTCAGATCTGTCTTTCTTTCTGAAGAACCTGAGGCTCAGAAAGATTACATAACCTATAACCTATATACATAGTTGGTTTAGTGAAAATTCAGAAAAAAAAGAACTAGGTCCTTGAAGTTTGAAACAATTTTCTTTTTATTTTACTAAATGTAATAATTATAGTTTGTGTACCACTTGTATTTCATTGAAAGTCTCTTCATATATGGCTAGCGTTTTTCTGGCCCCAGCTTTTGAGAAAATAATGGGTAAGTACATTTAAAGTTAATGCAACTCATTGGCTGGAACTGAAATCCTAGGTCTTCATATAACAAGGCCTTTTCTATTTCCAGCTTTTTTAAACAAGCAATAAGAAATATTTGCAATTCCCACATGCTTAATTTATGTTTGTGCTTGAAGATTGTCTGGAGAGGTACCCCTGTAATATCCTGGGGCCTGTGTCTGCTCCTTGTTCCTTATAGAATTTTGACCCACTGGCTCTCTTGGACCCAGGCAAGAGGGGTTTAGGTGCCAGGGGTTCCTCATTAAACTAGTTGCACATATCCCCTGACAGGTAGTGTATGGATAGCATTACCATGAACATGGGCCCCTGTAATTACTGTCTCCCTCACTCTCAATCACTCCTTAGCTACAGAAATAGGACATTATTCTGCAGCATTCCCAACATAATGAACTTTAGACAGTTGGCAGCTGTCATATTAAAATGGGGAAAAGACCAAAAAAAACCACAACTTAGTCATCGAGGAAACCCTTGGTAATGATAGTTTTGAAGGGCAGTGCTCTCACATTTTTTGTCCTGGTAAAAGAGCAGGTTTGTGGCAGGCTTTTGCTTTTGCACATAGGCTTTTCTTAAAAGAATAATTTAATACATTTTAAAGAGAGAGGAAGGGAGAGAAACATCAATGTGAGAGTGCAACATTGATCAGCTGCCTCCTGCACGCCCCCTACCAGGGCTGGAGCCTGCAACCCGGGCATGAACCCCTACTGGAAATTGAACCAGTGACCCCTCGGTGTACAGGATGACACCCAGCCAACTGAGCCACACTAGCCAGGGCGGCTACATAGGTTTTTAAATGTTATGGGCTACATGGCCTGGCCCACATATGCTCAGGTCAGGTCACAGTGAATCATCCTACACCCAGATTCTTTGGAACAAAATGATTGTATGTCTGGAAAAGTACAGTTACTTGTTTCCAATGGAATTTTCCAGTTGAGCCATTTATTGCACTAAAAACCATCTCATGAAACAATTATGGGGGACTGGGAGGAACGGAATCTAGGAAAACCCCAGGCCTCAACGAGCATAAATGTCACTGCTTCGCTGTTCCAGGTCAGCAGCCTCTGGTTATTTGTACATGGTCACTTAGAGTCCCTACCTTAGGAAGTAAGAGGCTGATTGCTAGTGATCCTGATTGTTACATTTCATGGTTCATGTATCTGATTCAGGATGTTCTGAAGCAGCTCCCGGGATGGTGTCTCAGCCTGGAAGCACAGCAGACACCTTGCTGACACTAAGGAGGTCACAGGCTTAGGGCTCATTGATGTGACAATATGGGAAGGATTTTTTTTAACCACTTCTGTGGTTTCCAACCTCTATTAGGTTTACTACCGTTTTAGATAGCTTGCATAGCCTAAGTGATTACATCAAGGCCAGTCACTTTAATCTAATGGAATTAGCTGCAACCACAGAGTATTGTGCTGAGATTAATGGCGTAAACACCTCTGGTTTGTCTCTGGGTTGGTATGGCAGCATGAGATCATTATCTGTCCTTCGTTAGTCCCGCCAAGTTCACTGGTTAATTTGATCATTTTCTGTCTCCACAGTTCCTACTGACTATAGCTATTTGCCAGAAAGCAGTTTTATTAGAGCAGCCGTTGACTTCTTTGTGATGGGAGGAAAAAAAGGCAAGTAAACACATTTCTTAAGTTTTATCATTCTTTCTGCTTAGTAAGGTGTGTGGCCTGAGCATACTTCTGTATAATTAAACAACACAGATCTGAAGGAGTAAATTTTTCTTCTACTAGACGGTCTTTACAATAGAGATGACCAGGATCCCAGCTGTAGTAAGTGGTACATAAAGCATACATGCTGTGTAGTCTCTTGGAATCACCATATCTGACCTGGGGCAGGGGCTCTGTGAAGACCTTAATCTTCCATTTGGTGATTTAAAAGTATAAGCATACATTTCTTGTCAGTTTCAAGTGAGTGTGACCTAAAAAGAGGAAACAGGCCTGGGTACAGTTCATATTTGAGGACCTGACTTGGAAGTAGATCTTCACCCTGCACCTTGTATGATCACCCTGTGTTGTTGGAACTGCTGGCTCTAGGTTTTATTTTTAGCTTATGCTCTTTTTCTCCGCAAACATTTGTCCCTTTGTGATTCTTTCTTGGCTGTCACCCACATTAGAGCACAAGCAATTCGAAGGCAGAGATTGAGTGCCTTTTGTTTTAACTAGAGCCAGAAGAATGCCATCTAAGTTATTGAATAAATACTTTTTAATGACACACAGCGCTGTGAGGAGAAGGATTTATTCAGCGCTGTGAGGAGAAAATGTGTTAGAACGGAGCAGCTCGGGAACCAGTTTCATTTACGCTGTCATCGTTTATTGATATTTGCTGGTTCTGTTCTAGCTTGGACTGGTTAGGTCAGTCTGGGCAAAACCGGTGCCTGCATTATAAGGCCATCCCAATTTCAGGGGGAAAAATGTTTTTAAACAAATGAAAATAAAGAAATCGGAAGGAAGCAAGTTTGATTAATGAAGGTGTGGAAGAATAAAATCTTACAATCGAAAGGGACATTAAAGGTCACGTCACCTGATTTCCCAGTGGGTACAGTGGTCCCTGGAACTTTCAATTTGTAAACTGCTTTCCTACCTTGGAGATGAATTCCTTTAGTTTCTGGAGTTTTAGTAAGTGTGCCATTATCCTAGGATCATGAGTTAGCATGGTTTGCTTTCACATATCCTCAGTAAAAACGGATACATGGCTATGTCATTGTCGTACATGATATAGTTATATCTAAACATGTCATATATTACATATAATGTGGAGTGCAGTGTATAAAGCACTATAAATCAAGTCTATTTCAAGTAGATATTAGAAATGTCTTCATCAGTAAGAAATTAAATTTTTATTAAAAGAGCATCTAAAATTTTCATGGCTAGAATAATTCTAGGGATATATATTGTTGCTCAATTTTCTGTTAGATTGCTCCCTGGTATCTTATGCAATTTTAAAATGGTGATAATATGCCCTGGCCGGTTTGGCTCAGCGGTTAGAGCGTTGGCCTGCGGTCCTGAGAGACCCGGGTTCGGTTCCCGCTAAGGGCACGTACCTCGGTTGCAGTTTGTCCCCGGCCCTGGTTGGTCGTGCGGGTGGCAGCCACTCGATGTGTTCCTTTCACATCGATGTTTCTCTCTCTCTCTCTCAGTTCCTCTCTCTCCCTCCCACTCTACCTGAACAAAAAATGGAAAAATGTCCTCGGGTGAGGATAAAAAAATAAATAAATAAAAATAAAAAAAATAAAAAAAAAATTAAAATGGTGATAATGTGAGATAATTTCCATGAGAAAAACAAAAAAATTCTTAAGGTCAAATGAAAGATAGTCTCTTTTCTAGTGAGTAAAATGGCACTTGGCCCCCCAGATCCATATTTCTTGGCAGAAATGAATTTTCTCTGAAGCCTGTGGGAAAGTCTTAGTTAAATGTCACATTTTTATGATGACATGGTCATGACACAACAGGAAATGCTCTGCTCCAAAACTGAAAACTCAGCGAGCTGGCAGCAGTGACGTTATATGCAGGCTTCCTGATCTCTGTTTTAAAACAGATAAGTGAAGTATGAAAAAAATGCCCTAGTGCCCATCAGACTTGGTGTTTTCAGGTTGTGGGAGAGGGCTGCCTTCTTGTCAGGTTTGCTGACTAGATTCAGAGGAAAATCTATTCAGCCTTGCACATTACTAATGATGACCCCAGAGGAGTGGGGGCCGTGGGAGGCTGACCTCAGTCTCCAAAGCCCATTTACAAAAACAAAACCAGACCCTGCTCTCTGGGGCTAAATGGGATGGCCAAGTGTGGAGGTGTGCATGCAAACGAGTGTTGCTTCTTCAGTATGCCCAGCTCATTTGAATTTTAATAACTCTCTTCTGAAGCAGCTTTTGAGTTTAAATGTCTCGATGTCATTCACCAGAGCCCTGTGGAGCTGCTGATAGGAAGGATGACAACTTTGGTGAGCTCTTTTGAGGAAGAAATGGCTTTAGAAGATGAAAATCATGCTTGGCATAGGCACAAGAGAGCAAACTTTCGGGAGCGCGTGGCTCCATTGCCTCTGTGCTATTTACTAACTCGCAGAGGAAGACAAATGGGATAAGTTATCCCTGTGCCGCTCATGCCAGGATATTGGGCATCATGATCTCAATTTCAGGCAATCAAATTTGAGATGGCGAATCTATTCCTCTGCTTTCTAATGCTTAGGGCTCTTCTCACTTTAATATTCATGTGATAGAACATATAAGATGTTCATAGTATCCTACGTTCATAGCAGGCCTACGTTTTAAACCATACCAAATAGATGAAATCCCCTCTAGTTATTAATGACGTCAGTAAATAATTTTGAATGCAACTCTTTTGCTATACCCTGTAACATTCTCTTTTTCTAATGGTGTTGGCCTTCTTTTGGCAGATGTGTTATTCCTTAAACTTTCTCATTATCTCATTATCTACCCCTCTGGGCATTTCTTGACTATATTAGGCTTAAAACCTGTTTATCATTTAATTCTTTCTATCGTGGAATTATTTTTTTCTCTTTAAGGGTCTTGACATTTTGACTCTTATTTTGCTTCTTTTCTAGTCATTTATTCTTTTTTTTTTTCTGAGTTCTGATCTTTGTGTGTTTTTTTTTCTAACCTTATAGCATATTCAGATTTCATTTACTTTTTTTAATAAAACATTTAAAATGTATTAAAAGTTCTTAATAAAAGTAATCATTTATTTTTGTTAGTAACATTAGGTATTTTTACCTAACAATTTAGGATTATTTTTCTTATCATTCTGTTTCTGGGGAATGTGACTAATTTTTTAAGCTTGTATTTTTCTGTTGGACTTGAAAGTTCACAGTAAGAAGTATTATTTGAGGAAAGTATATTTAAATCCTTGTAATAAAGTCATTATGAAGGGCATTTTTTCCCTGCTATGAATTCATTGGTCAGTGATCTATATATTTAACTATTGGGCTTATGAATAACCTATAGATAGGTATATTCTCAATCATTTTTGGACTAATTAACATGAGATATAGTTGTCGACAAGTCTAGCCAAAGGAGCAGAATTAGTGAACTCTGAGTGTAGAATAAATGATATGAGAAAGCTGTCCTATTTTTCTGATGAAATTATGGAGTCAGTTGCTAAGACTGTTATTTTAAAGTATTTGAATTTAGTAAAAATTTACTTATACAGTTATTTTTTAAAAGATTATTAGAAATGGGTGTATGGGTATAACACTAAGTTTTAAAATGGTATAAAGAAGAAAGAATCCCCAATAATCTCACCACCTAGAAAAAGCCACAGTAGATATTCCAGTGTATGTCTTTCTAGATGTGTGTGCTATATTATGTTGAATCATAAAATTTATATTATTTTGTTGTCTGCTTTTGACAAATTTAACATTCCGTAGACATGGACATAATCACCACTGATCTCCTCCGAAGGGAGGCTTGGAAGAAAGTATATAAAGAATCCTTGTGCTTGGCCAGTGTGGCTCAGTGGATTAAGCATTGTCCCTTGGACTGAGAGGTCCCAGTTCAATTGCAGGTCAGGGCACATGCCTGGGTTGCAGGCTTGATTCCCACTAGGGGGCGTGCAAGAGGCACGATGTTTCTCTCACATGGATGTTTCTCTTTCTCCCTCTCTCTAAAAAAAATCAATAAAAATATATTTTTTAAAAAAGAATTCTTGCATCACTTTCTAGATATTTGTTAATTTGTTTTGGGAATGTTTGATTTTTATTTTGTTGTAAACACCAGTAAGATATGTAAAAGCAAAAAGAGTCACCAGTTGTTTCATGAGTTTCTCACAGCAACTATCATTTTTGAACTTTAATTTGTTGCTTTTATGCACACACAATTTTTACATATTTTCAAGTATACATATATTCTGTATTTTTACCTTAATATTATAAACATTTGCCTATTTTCCATGTCTCTATAATTACTATTTTTTAAATGACTATGGACTATAGTCTATAGTCAAGTTAATCAAAATTAACCATTTTTCTATCAGTTATTTTTTATTTATTTTTTTATTTTTTTATCCTCACCCGAGGACATTTTTCCATTTTTTGTTCAGATAGAGTGGGAGGAAGAGAGAGAGAGAACATCGACATGAAAGGGACACAGCGAGTGGTTGCCACCCGCGCTACCCAACCAGGGCCGGGGACAAACTACAACCGAGGTACGTGCCCTTAGCGGGAACTGAACCCGGGCCTCTCTGGACCGCAGGCTGACTCTCTAACTGCTGAGCAAAACCGGCCAGGGCTCTATCACTTATTTTTAAAAAATTTGTTGTAGAGAACATTTTTTTTTTACATTTTATTCATAAACAATTAAGAACTTTCTCTTTTGTGTGTGTGTGGTTTTTTTTTCCTTTTTATTTAATTTATTGGGGTGATACTGGTTAACAAAATTATACAGGTTTCAGGTGCACAATTCTACTACACATCATCTGTACCCTGTGTTGTGTGTTCACCACCCCAAGGCAAGGAGTACATCTGTAATTTTTTAAATTGATTTTAGAGAGAGGGGGACAGAAACATTTGTTGTTCTACCTCTTCATGCATTCATTGGTTGATTCTCATATGTGCCCTGACTGGGGATCAAACCTGTAAACTTGGCGTATCAGGACGACACTCC